TCCTCTGCATTTTGCCCAAAGCACAAAGGCAGAGCTGTGAGGATGTACCTGAATTACTGGTGGTATTCTTTGAAAATGATGCATTATCAGGAGCTGGAAATTAGATGGAAACAAATGTTAATCTCCTTTCCCCCTTTGTTCATAGGCAGTGAACTCTCTCCTAAAATTAATACTGTCAACCACAAATGACAGGTTCAAATCGCTTGCAGAGCACTTTGCATTTTGGAATATCCCCAATACTCTCTTATTACAGCTTAAAAAAATCAAAAAGCAGGCAAGAGATTTTGATCAAGTAATTGTATCAACCACATTTTGATATCTCCACATGTTGATGCATGAATGGCCAAAGAAAAAGTGGTTTTTTTCATGCAAACTTGGAATTTTTCTCAGCTGAAAAGGTAGATAATAAATACTGGCAATACATAAGACTTGGCTCTACAAAGACCTCCCATGTACTATCTTGGAGAGCAGCAGTTATTAATTTTCAGACATAATCAAGTGATTTATATTCATGATTATGGTTCAAACCATCATGACACTTGTTCTTTCTACATCAGAGGCCTTCTCGCTTTCAGCTTCTTGTGTTCAGCAGTTATTAAAATAAGAATGAGAGGGTTTGGGGGTTTTTTAGAAGTATTTTATAACATTTTTCCTCTGATTTCAGGTCTTACCCACTGAACCATCACAAACACCTGAGCAACGTGTACTGCACTGGCTGCACTAAGACTTTGAGCTGTATTTTAGGGATTCACAGCAAGTATTTTCCTCAATTTGCACTAAGAACTGCAAAATTTCCTCTTTTTATACACCATATATTCCATTGGAATTCTTATCTTTGTAATAACTGTCATAATTAGTACTGGTCTCCAATTTGACCTCATAAAAATTCATAAATAATGCTGGGAGTCAATTTTAAAATATGTTTATTATTTCTACCATACTTCATGACATTTGAATGGAGACAAAACTCCATCACTTAGACATATGGAAAAGTATTTACCTCCAAAAAATCTTTTCTATACAATGTTTAATTGCATTCCTTTTAGAAAAGCTACACCAACTTTGAAAATGAACTTTGAATATGTTCTACTTCTCCATTGCAATGAAATTACTCAGTTGACTTTTTTTCTGAATCTGGTTGGTAAACAAAATCAAAATATTTTGGCCGTCAGTTGCTATAAAATGAAAACTAATTTTGTCTGAGGCAAAGCTCAGAGCACCTGACCCTGAATTGTGGGGTGTTTGGGGAAAATGACTCAACACAAGATGAATCCAAATTCATTCTCTCCAGAGTCTCTTTGGGGGGGAAAAAAAAAACCTGTTTGCAAAGCACTTGTGAGGCTTCTCAGTTCTTTGTCTTGCTCAGTTTGGTGTCTGGAGGAGACTCCAGGACTCTGAAAACTGCTCAGCTTTGTGACTGAAAAAAGCTGCCCTGGAGAGCTCCCAGTGTGCTGAACTGGGATCTCAGAGTGGTTTCAACCATGCAAACATGGCATGGGGGGAGTGGGTTCCCACTGAATCTGTGAGTGATGTCCTTCCACAATATAATAGTAATGTTCCTGGCTGAACTGATAATCCACAAGCAAATTGTTACAGGAATTAAGAGCTGCAACTTAACTAGAAGTTATATTAAATATTTGATGCCTAAAAACCAACAAATCTCATGGAAAAAAAAATTCTAAGCTCGCTCTTTTTCCTAACACAGTCCCTTAGCTGAAATCCCAATTATTAGCACAGCTGACTGAAGGAATACAACCAGGGAGCTGGCTCTGACCAGCTAACAAGTTTGTCAAGTTGTACATGATTTAATTAAAATGTACCTGTTACGAGAGAAGAGATAAATGTCTCTTTTTAAATTACTGCATTTTAGCGGTGCCTAATTTCCTGCCTTGTTTTCCTACACTATTCTCTCCAATCTAGCCTATCCTCCTGGGCTTCCAGTAATTCTTCTTCCCAGCTGTCAGGAATGAATCAGCTCTTAATTCCTGGAAGCCAGAGCAGGACACAGCGGAGACCACTCTGCTCCAGCTCTTGATTTAATGGAGCTCTTGGTTGTCTTCGAGGCCTCTCAGTGTCCCTGACTGAAGAGCCTTTCCCATTCCTCCTTCTTGGAGTTCAATATCCCACCTTTTGCCCTGAGAGCCCTGTTGTTGATGTCCTTTGGAGACTAATGAAAATACCCTCAGCTGGGAATCCTGCTGGTTGAACCCTCTTGCGAGGCCTTTTTGTTTCGTGCTTTTATGTGGCACGGGGAACGTTCACCAGGTGATGGATAATAAAAGTTTGCAGCACTGTGAATTCAGGAAAGCACTTAAGCAAATTGTTTTATTGATGGCAGGGTTAAATGAAACCTGTGGACAGCTGCTGGGCTGGATGGAGCACTTTCCTGGAACACTGAAATGAAATACACACCTTGGAAAAGAGATTTACGTCAAACAATCCCCTCAGGCCTCCCTCACCGTTATCATCTTCATGATCCACAGGAAGCTATTATTTTTACCTCAATATGCACTCATAAAGCAGCATATTTAGCCGTTTTTTGAGCAATATTTCCAGTTTGCTTGGACATGTGGGGACACACATGTTGTTCCAGTAAACAGGAGAGGGAGGGGTGGCTCAGTAACAGGCAGCATTCCAAAAGCAGTCTGGTGGCATTGATCTGTGCAAAGATGGATGGTTGCAGGAGAGCCCCAGTGCTCTTTGTGTGCCATTGATTTCCTTTCTTTGAAGTGCTGACTGAGGAAAAGAGGACCATTCCCTCTGTGCTCCCAGAGGAAACGTCTCATTCCTGCGCTTCCCCAGTCAGAGGTGAGGTTGTGGAAGAGGAACAAGTCTGTGAACGGTTCAAAAAAAAATACGAGTGGCACTTCTCAGCTATTTCTTTATTATTGAAAAATAACCTGTGAACACTTAATAGCATGAAAGCTTTCCTTTGGAAAACAAAGACCTAATGTTAAGGTCATATAATATCTGTTATGATAAAAACACAAAACTCAGTTAAATGTGAAGGTTTCATATTAAGATTATGATTGAAACCTCTTCTCTATAAACTCTTTTCCATATTAACCTTTCATCTTTTCCTTCTGCTTTTGACATTTATTTTTAGCATGCCATGAAATCTGTTTACTATTAAAATTAATATTTTAAAATTAATCTTGATTTTAATTTAGTTCTCTCCTGCAACTATTGAAATAGCTCTTTTCCTGATTTGGGAATGTTTAATGACTTCTTGTGGTGCTTAAAGCACATATGAGTGACAAATCACGTGAAGGTTCTCTGGAGGTTCTGTAACAAAGATATGGGAAAAGGAGACAATAGAAACCAGGAGTTATGCATTTTATGGCTGGTTTTTTCCTCATTGCAGAATCTGATGCTTTATATTGAACCCAAAATATTTATAATTAACCAGCCATTCCTGCAATAATCTCAGTGACTGCTCAGTCCAAAGTGTGTGCAATGTGCCTGTAATTATGTTGTACCTGCCATTGGCTGATGGGTTTGCAAACAAGGCAGAAAACTGATAACACAGAACATAAAGCTTCAGTTTTCATCTTGACCTTTACAGCCAAGAGCAGCACATGAAGGAACCAGAGGGACTTTGAGGTATGTCACTCGTTTGATTGCATCTAAGTTTCTGGAGAGCTGAATGAATGCGCACATCACACAACAGGATTTATATTTATAAATTATAAAGCTTTATTTCCTGAGTATTGGGTCTCAGGGGGAAGACCATGAGAAGGAAAGAACTGAAATGCAGTGATTCGGTTGGGGGAGAGGTCTGGATGACAAGAACTTGAATAAGATCCTGGTTTTCAGAAAAATGACCATTAGTTTTTTAGGACTGCTGGTTGATGTCATGTGGGGTGACACAGCAACAGAGGTTTTTGAGATGAGGATACTTGTAGGGCAACGGGTTGTACTTTGAAGAAATGGCAGGCAGGAGACTAAAATGACTTAAACTGTGATTTCACACACAAAAAAGTTTCTTTTAAAGTATCTTTCGCTGCTTTGGGTCATCACTAAAACACGTAGGAGTGTTCTGCTGTGCCAGCACAATGCACGTGTATTCCCACACTTCCTTGATTTAACTAAAAAGAGCCAATTTCCCTGCATTTAAGGTTGTGTTATAAGCTTGAATGTTCTTAACCAAATGCTAAATGCAGTAGGAGCTGCCAATGGCTATTGATCTGGACGCTGGAGATTAATTTTAATTAGTTTTATTGCTGGTGCACAGTTCAGTGTTAACAGCACTGGGGTGTTCTGTGACTGGGGCTGAGCAACTGTTTCCACTCTGTCCAACAAAAAAACCCTCAAAATTCTGGGAAAACTGTAAGTTTTACAGCAGTTTAAGGCACTGACTCCATCAGCACACTCTCCTGCATTCAAGTGGTGATTTCAGCAGCAACCACAGTACCATGAGCTTGTACACATGATCTGTTCTTCCGCTGTGTAAATAATTCACCCTGTTACCTCTGTCTTGCCTTTCCCACGTGTCATGGACACACTATCAGAGTTTATTAGAGGCTTTGTCAAGTACAGTGTTAATCAACTTGCTCCTTTGTAAGATAACCTGTGTTTGTACTAAAGCAGGAAAGAAAGCTTTTTAAAAAAAAAAAAAAAAAGGATAAAAAGAAAGAAGATTTTTTTTGTTTCCAGTTTCAAAAATTTTAGTAAGAGGTAGGAAACTCCATAGTTAATCTCAGGAGAAAGTTGTTCTCCGAGTGTAAAGTGGTTTTCAGGGAGCAAAATACATTTCTCAGTGATTGCCCTCTTGTGTAATAAAACCATAATCTGTGCTGTGTGAATTGTCCTGACTTGGAAATTTATTGTATATAGTCCTTAAGGAGTGTTTTGTTTAAACCTCAGGATTAGATGATGTGGTTTACAACCTGAATCACTTCAAAATTTTGCAAATTTAATGAATTGGTAATGCAATTTTTAGGGTTTTCAAAGCCGTTGCTTGTGTTTTCCTTTTACCAACTGTGTTTCTTTGGGTGTAGATGGGCAAAAAGAAGTTCAGTGGGCTGGAGATCAGCTTGATCGTCCTCTTCTGCATAGTAACAGTCATACTCTGTGTCTTCATTGGGCTTTTTGCAACAGGACATACTGGAGTCAAAGATCCAGGTAAGGGCTTCCTATGGATGTTGTAGGGCCAGAGCAAAACCCCGGAGTGGGAGCTGCCTGACTCAGTGTCACTGTTCTGTGCTTACCATTATCCAAAGGTGGATCATGGTCAGTCCTTCCTACGGATAATTTGAGTAAAATTACCAGTTATGAATGTAATAAATAGCGTGACTCAGAATTTATAGTCATGAAAAAAGTTTTACCTCTTCCTCCCGTGGCTGGACTTTCTTTATGAGCATAGAACTCATATAATTTCAAAATTTGTGAGTATGAAACAAGGTAACTCTGGGAAAAAAAAAAAAAGGGATCAGGGAGATATGACCCTAAAACCCAACAGTATTTCTTGCTAATGTGTTGGTATATTAGAATCCTCTTGTGCTATAGGGCTGTGATTTAGAGCACCTGCTTTACTCACAGTTCCATTTTGAGTAATTTCATTTACATACAGGGACTGAAGCGAAAAGCTTGAAGGTGAAAATGGCAGAAAAACAAAAAATAATTGCTTTTACAAAGCAAACATTTCCGTGCTTTAATAAAACTGTCCTTTCAGGCCAATACCTGCATATTTTTTCCTGTTTCTGTCACGAGTAGGAGTTTCTCTGAGCAAAAAGAACAAGTGCAGATAATGCAAAGAGGCAAGTCTGGGGATGTGTGTGCTTGTCAGCCCCAGGCCACGCTTCTACACTTTGTGGTCCTCATTCCAGACATGAACAATGTTCCCAAATATGTAAAGTAACATTCAGTGCAACCTTCTGTCAGCTAAAGCTGCCCAGAGGTCACCTTAAATGCAGTCTGACAAACTTGAAATCTTAATGGAGCATCTTAATGGAGCTTTAAGGTGTTTTTACCTGATGCTCTAATTCCAACTCCTGTGCAAAACAGTGGTTCAGGGGAAGGAGCACCATGAGAGCACCACAGGGACATTTAGGAAAGAGAAAATTCCTTCTCATTTTAATTTTGCACTTCTTTTCACAAGAAGCAATGCATATAGACCCACAGAAAAATGGGATTAATGCGCACCTTAAGAAATACAAGCATCAATATTGTCAATATTACCCCCATGTTACAAAACTTTAAAGTGAAGTTGTCCCGTCTGAAATAGTCGTGAGCAATTTTTCAAAGGTAAATATAAACCATACAAGCAATAATTTATACTCCTTCTAGTCTATTTTAGAAGTTCAAGATGGAGCCAGCGGGAGAAGTGAGTGTGTTAAGAGGTATTCCAGTTATTCCTGCAGTTTGGGGATGCTGGTAAATAACCCATTCTTTTGTTTCCCAAACAGATTTTTACCCACAATGCTCGAGTATACGAAACGAGGAGAGGATTGACTGCATCCCGGATGAACTGGCAACAAAGGTCTGAAAATATTCTAGAAAATGCTAAAAAATACTCTTTCTCCCACAAAACCTCATGCTTACTAACGAAAATATTCTCCCCAGCAGTTTGGGTTTGGGACGGGTGTAAGCAAAATTAGCCAGACATCAAGCAGTTAAAAAAAGTCACTCTTCATTTTAACAACTTTGCCTGAACAACTTCATTTTGTGTGATGGTCAAAAACTAGCCTTTGTAATAGTTCAGAAAAAGCAGGTGAAGATGGGCTTTGCTCAGATGTGCAAGGCTTGTGAAATGTGAGACACAGGGCCACAGTTTCTTTTCAGAAGCACTTTGAACCTCAGCATCTTCCTCTCCTGGTTGAGTGTCTCCCATCTGGGAGTGGAGAGTATGGAAATGATATTTTGGCTTAAAAACAACTCAATGAAAATTCCCAGTGAAAAGTATCATCTCAAACTTGGAGCAACTTGGTCTAGTGGAAGGTTTCTCTGACCATGAGATGAGTTTCAAGGTCTCTTCCAACCCAAACCATTCCATGATTCTATCATGACTTCTGTTTTTCAGTGCTCTCACATTCAGAAACATTCTGTAATAGTTAGCCTTGAAAGAGTATTATAATTATAATAATTATTATTTTTCATCTTTATTATGTTCTCATCTTCTGATGGAAGCTGGTGGATGCCTGGAATCTTCTTTTTATTGGGGGCAGGGGCAGCTTAGGAGAAAAAAACCAGTGTGATGTGTGACATTTCTGTCAGTCACAGAAGCATAAAAAATTATTAGCCAGCTGTCTCAATCTCTGAGGGAATTCCCAGTTTAATTCCAGATATGACAGTTGCAAAGCTGCTGTCATGCCATGGGTTTTGTTATGATATATAGTTCAATCAAGCCCTGTGGGGGACAGGTTAGGAAAGGTTCAAATCACAGCCTGTTCCTCTGCTCTTGCTGTTCCTTCCCTGCCCCAGGAACATGCACAGCACTGTGGAAGTCATGCAGATCACTTTAATCTTTAATTACTACCTTTGAACCAGTCACCCCACATTAAGTGCTGCACTCATCATACAGGGAGGGAAACAGTGTTGCTCTGGTTGCAACTGTGAGAAAGAATTAAAAATAATCAAATTACAGATCCCAGCAGAAACGTAGGGCCAGGTGCACATTGGAGCACTGGGGGGACCTGCTCTGGAATTAGAGGTAAAATAAATGATTCCTGAATCTGTTCTTTCCTCAGTGGAGAAAGACCAGGCAGCGAATTTCATGGATAATTTCAGAGAGAAATCTCACCTTTAACCCGTGCCCTGAGGAAAGCTGTCAGGTTTCCCCAGCAGAGTCCCAGCCCAGTGATTCCATTCATTCCTGTAGACATTCCCTCCTGGAAGCAATCAGGTTGTCCTTTAGGTTATTCTGACACAGCAACCAGCAGAGCTGGAAAACCACAGGTACCTGCTTAGAATAACATCACTCTTCTGTAGTGGTTTGCACAAATGGTTTTACAATAAACAGCAGCTGGGAAAACCATGATTTGCTGAAGCTCATGTATTGTCTGCCTTGCTTCCCTTATTCACGGAATATGCTCAAGATGAAACCAGAAAACGAGTAGGATTGCAGAGGAGAGAAACAAATAGAAGCAAAAATGAGAGAACAGGAGGAAGACAGAATGGGAGAAACAAAGGAAGAAAGGGAGAAATTAATTTATTAGCTGATCTTAAGGTTGATGAAAGAAAGCAAATATTTATTAGCTATTTGGTGCTGTGGAGAATTTTCATGAACTTTGATTAGACACGCAGAACACACCAGTGAAATCTGAATTCCAGTGAGCAGAGCTAGTGTATTGTTGTTTTGGCTTCTGTTTTTGTTCTCCCAAAATATCCTGCTGGTAAAGGTCTGTTTGAGTTCATGCAACAGCAGAGACAAGCTCTTCTTTTAATCCTCGGTGCTCAGTTCACACTGTACCCCAACATAAACTGTTTCCTCGTATCCAGGATTATTCCTAATTAAGCTTTGACTTTGGTTTTATTGGATGATGGTATCTCTTGTGCTGGTTTTATAGCTCTGAGGCCAGGATCACATCTTTGTTTATACTCAATGATAGCTTTTATAACAACCTCCCCAGTGTCTTTGGTGAACTCTGCTCCTTTCCTCCTTTTGGTCACACTATACTGCATCTCAACTGTGTGTACTATAGTGTGACACTATACTACACAGCTCAAATGTTTCAATAATTATTTTTAAATGTTCAATAATTATTTTTAAATGTTCAATAATTATTTTTAAATTTTCAATAGTTATTTTTAAATGTTCAATAATTATTTTTAAATGTTCAATAATTATTTTTAAACGTTCGGTAATTATTTTTAAATGTTCATTTTGCCTGTGGATCTTGTGGTTTTAAGAAAGGACATATGTTTTATAAGCAAATTTACTCTGAATCCAGAAAGAATCCTCCTTAGTGTGTTCTGTGCCACTGAGTTCCCTCAACAGAGTTTCAAAGAAGGAGCTGATCCGATTGCAGATGTTATTAAGATTACTGGTGTTTGGGGTAAAATGTGCTTTTTTAATGGCTTTAGTGTGGATTTATTTGTGTAACACCAGCTCATTTGTGCCTCCCATGTCCTTATCTCAGGCGACCTGCTCCCGCCGTGGCTGCTGCTGGAGCCCCCTGGCCGACACCAGCGTGCCCTGGTGCTTCTTCTCCCCAAAACACGGGTACAAAGTGCAGTCACAAAAATCAACCACAGCAGGTGAGCTGTGGGCTGGGCTCCCCCACTGCTGCGTGTGCTGATGGCCAGAACAACACGTTAACTTGTGTTTTCCTCCCAAGGATTTGAGGCTACGTTGAAGAGGCTGCCATCACCTTCCCTCTTTGGGAACGACATCCAGACTGTTCTGCTCACGGGGGAGTATCAGACACCAAATCGCTTCCGATTCAAGGTTAATCCTTTTTCTCTGCTGCTCCAAGGCTCGTGTTCTCTGCAAGGCGTGAGGTTGGAGGGCTGGATTGATCCCTCTGAGGCACCCTCATGGTTCCCACTGAAATCCCTGTCTCCTTTCTCTGTCCTCTCTGCTCAGTGCATCAACTTTACCACAGTGGGATTTCTGCACGAAAAATTGGAGACTTTGGAAATCTCAATTTTTATATTATCCACCATTTGTCCTCATCACAGGAAAAAATTGGGTTTAAACATATTTTACTTGCTTTTTATTTGTGGCCTGGCCATACCTCTCAATCATTTTAGCAGACAACATTAACTTTTCCAATTATTCCTGTTTTCTTTGGAAAACTCAACAGTCCATGCCATGAATGTGGGATGTCAATGAGTTCTGGGCTTGAGGAGCTTCTTCTGTGGTAGACTTCATCTTATGGTGGGTTCCTGCTGATCCAGGGAGACAGAGTCAAGTATTATGAGGAAAATGGTCAAAAATTAGTAATTGAATTTGGAAGTGAATAACAATGAAAGCAGAAGAGGAGACTGGGGTAAGGGTGGAAGTACCCTGAGTCAGAACTACGTGCTTATGCTGAAAAATATTTGAATTGGGGATTAGTTTATAAAGGCCCAACACTTCTGTTTAAATATTTGCAGATCACTGATCCTAAAAGACAAAGGTTTGAAGTCCCTCACGAGCATGTGAAAGCATTCACTGGATCTGCAGCCTCCAACCTGAAGTACCAGGTGACACTACAGCAGAACCCCTTTGGCCTCGTGGTGACCAGAGTGAGCAATGGCAAAGTGCTGTGAGTAACTGTGGTGCTCTGCTGGGTGACAGGGGTGCCATTGGTGTTCTCTGAAAGCTGGTGTTGCCACACAGTAGTCTTCTCTTCTTTTGACTGATGGATATTCTGCAAGGAGTCCTGAGAGGTCTTTGGAAGCAAAGTCTGTGCTATGGAGAGCTCTGTCCAAAAGGTTTCAGTTCTGGCTCTCTCTTCACTTCCCTCCAACAGGGGGAAATCTCTACAGCTGCTTTATTCCATCAATTTGGGCAAGTTTTTATTACCTGAAGGACTCCTTGCACATGCAAACCATGTGGGAAAACTCCTGATTGCATCTTTTATCTCCTTTGTTGCAATCATGTTGAATCCCTGAATCACCAAAGCCAGGCTGCCCTTTAGACCTGTGATATCCAGAATAGCTGTGTCATAGAACTGTGTCCAGAACTGCTGAGCTGGTCATATAAGCTGTAAGTTAGATATTTGATGGACTTGTACATTGGATTCTCTCATCCCATTTGCATTCCAAAAATAAATAAATAACCCAACCCAGTGACCATTAAAGAGGGAAAGTGTCAGGATGAACCTGGTGATTAAACCAGCCCAGCAATGATTACCTGTCACAGGGCCAGGTCACTTGGATTACCCAGGTTTCAAGTTTAATTAATTAGGGGTTACTTTTTGCTCTTATTAGTATTGTTTGCTTGCTTAGAATTCCTCTGCAATGATTGATTTGCAATTATAGAGGGCACAGAAGATGGACTTGGTACTCAGTAGTGCATGACTGATTAAACAGGTGTATGGAGGGGGAATAACAAACCCAGTCCAATGGAACTGTGTTGAAGCAGTGCTCTGGAACATTGTCTAAATTTTCCTTAGGCTTTTGTTTAATTTCATAAAAGTTTTGGTCTCTAGAGAAAAAGAAAGATACAATGATACTGGACTCTGAGTATCTAAAGGAAACCGATGTTATCATGGGGTAAGGGCAGCCCCTCAGAGATAAATCCTTGATAAATTTGTTTGCACAAGGGAGGCCTCTTTGAAAAAGTAAAGTGGGAACCAATGTACCGTTACATTTCATTACCAAAATCCTGATTGTCCAGATATTTATAAAATCTGTGAACTTCTATCATAATTTGTCACACTGGAGACCCCAGAAGGATCAGAGTTCTGACAGATATCTGCTGCTATCACCGACTGCAAGAAAACCTGAATGATCTGGGTGGACACCTGAGCCATCCAGACCCAGCTGAAACAACTGAACAGTTCTTGCAGCGATCCTCGCTGAAACACTTTCCCATTGATTGATTATTTTTGTGTTGTTTCACCAGGTTTGACACCACCATAGGCCCCCTGATATATGCTGACCAGTTCTTACAGCTCTCAATCCAACTGCCCAGCAGCAACATTTACGGGGTGGGGGAGCACGTGCACAAGCAGTATCGGCACGACGTCAACTGGAAAACCTGGCCCATGTTGGCCAGGGACATCCCCCCCTCTGGAGTAAGTCTGGTTGTATTTCTCCTCATTCTTTGCAGTTCTGTAACCCAAACCTGTTAGGCATTAACGTATCCACCGGGTTTTTCCCAAAAGACTTCTCGGGCACTGTGTGTTGTCACTGACACACTCGATGGTGCTGATGAACGTTCCCCCATTTCTGATTTTTGTGTCGCCTTGTAGTTGATAACCAGTTGATAAATATTATTAGATGAGAGTCTTCAGCTCCTACTGACAAGTAAAATAAATAACAGAATAATAAATAATTAGTATGTCCTAATGCATAGGATAATAATGCAATGTGTGCAGAGTTCAGTTCAGATACTGCTTTGGTAACATCCTTGTAGCTCACCAAACGATGGAAAAATTCTCTTTAACAGCTGTTTCTTTCCAAGATAAAATATGCCTGTTAGCTGTGATTTCTTCCTTTAGTTTTTCTGGCTGTCTTTTTATGAAAAAATTTCTGGGGCACCCATTTCTCAGTAATTGTGAGACTATTTGTTGCCATTACCTCAATTTCATGAAGCAACAACCCATATGCTTTAACTTAAGAGAGAACTTCAGTGTGTCACTGAAATGGGAGTTGCACTAACAGAAATTAGAGGGTGAGATGACTATATGTAGTTAATTAATGATTTGGAATATGTATCCTTTACCTTGAGACTCCTTCTCACCATTATCTCTGGTTTAAGATAGTTCTCAGCTGAGGCTCCACCGAGTGTAAACTCATTAAGTTTAACTAACAGTGAACAGAATCAAGTTAGGCTGAGTTTAAAACACTCAGGTTCTGGTTCTTAATTAGACCTGGGTTTTCTTTTCAGAAGAAGAAGCACAACTATTGCAACACTTGCCAACATCTCTAAGGGTTTTTGTTGCTAATAATAACAACAGGGAAAAACAAACAAACAAAGAACAACAACACATTGGAAAGGAAAAAAAAAAAAAGAAGCAAAGCACTCTTATTTCCATAGATTAGATATAAAATTATTAGCTTTCAGGATTAATAGAAATATAGATCTACGGTCAAAGGTGATGAAAGCACCTTTCAAGTTCTCCTACTGGCTTGATGTGCACATCTATTACCCAGAAATAGTGCTGCAATATGTGCTGCCTGCCTGCAGATCCATCACATCTGCTCACTTGTATTGTCTATTTATTGAGGAACCTTTGTTTTAATGGAAAATGTTCTCATAAAGGAGAATAATGCCAGGAAAGAGAAAACAGAACTGTAGGGAAGCGTCAGGATTAAAATGTTTGCTGTTTACTCCATTTTAAGTTTCGGGTTCTACCTGTGGTACATTTTGAACTATTGCAGAACAGAGATTGTTGTTTAGATTTTAGTCATCTTACATGTTCTTTTTATCATTTTAGGAAGTGCGTAACTTATATGGAGTTCACACTTTCTTCCTGTGTTTGGAAGACAACACTGGAGCCTCCTTTGGTGTTTTCTTAATGAATAGCAATGCCATGGGTAAGAAATCTTTGTAAAAATTAAAAGATAAAAGCTTGAACAATTGGATTTCTTTTGATTCTCTTCTCTGTAGGATGTAAAGGAATGGAAACCTGGACATTTAAAAGAGTTATCTGAATACATTTATTCTTATTAGAAAGTTCAATTAATGGCTTTGGGTTCTTTGGGTATTTGTGGTTTGTGTTTTTTACTTTAGTAAATTTGCTAATCTGGAAAATTAAGAAGTTATTTTAGAGTGAGATGGTCTTCAGGTTCAGTTTTGTGCACTCTTGTCTGGCAGAGTTTGTGGTGCAGCCTGCTCCAGCAGTGACCTACAGAACCATTGGTGGGATCCTGGATTTCTACATCTTCCTGGGGGACACTCCAGAGCAAGTGGTGCAGGAGTACCTGCAGGTATCTTTACCTACAGAGGTTGTGCATTGAACAGATTGTTTAAAGTTCTTGGGATTTATTTCAGTTTTGTTGTCTCTTTGTATGACAGTGTGTGTTGACCTATTAACTGAAGGCATGACTCAGTATATATCTAACTAAGAATAACCTCTAATATCTCAATAATGTGACTTACTCCTGTAAATCACAGGACAAATTCCTGTGCATAAGGCAATTTTATAGCATAGACAGTGTGCTTACAAGCATGCCATGATTTTATGATCATGAAATATCACTGGTATCTTTTGTACTTCTCAAGATCTACTTAGGTTTCAGTGACATTGTAAGGAATGGTCCTTGTCCCCAGATATTTTTGTTTATTAAAATAAATAATGATTAAAAAATAATAATTAAAAAAAAAAAAAAAAAAACAACCAAGAAAAAATATTGCATTTGGGAGTGAAGGCTCATTTAGTGTGTATTATTCAAGCAGATTTGAGGAATGTGGGTTTAGGGAAACGGGCACTGATGGCACTTGGGATGTTTTCTCTCCCCTTGCAGTTCGTGGGATTGCCAATGTTTCCCTCCTACTGGAGCCTGGGCTTCCAGCTGAGCCGCTATAATTACGGCTCCCTGGAGGAGGTGGTGAATGTGGTGGAGAGGAACAGGGCCATTGGACTCCCCTACGTGAGTATGGGTTGAGGGGGGCAGGAGGAAGGACCCAGAGAGCTGTTGGGCAACTCAGTTGAAATTAGGACATTTCTGGGGGTTTTGTGCATTTTAATGGTAGACCCATTATGAGAAAGTGTAACTTGAACACTGTATTGTAATATTTTTATATATCCACCCAACCATATCCACTTTTCTTCTCATGTCACCTAGTCCATGAAATAAATTTTTTATTGTTCTCTGGAACCATATATTATTCTTAGTGGACAGTCAAAGGTAAAGTACAATTAACTTGTAAAATTAGATTTTAGATGGCATTAACCTGATGTCTTAATAGAATAAAAATATCCTAATATTAAGCCAAGAGTTAAGGAAGGAATGTTTGGATTTAAGGGAATAGCTCTTGAAGTCAGGCAGCTGCAATGACACAGCCACAAGTCCAGGGGTTATTTGAAAGGATGCAAATATATGCATTCATTTAAATTCTGTTAATTTAAATGCAGCTCTTTTTAGGCATGAAAGATGTGTCAGAACAGTTAATTAGGGCTGTAAATCCAAGGTGAGATATTGCTTCCAAGTTGTCCTGACAGCAAACTTTCTACCAGACTGCAATGAAGTCCCAACAGTAAATTCAGTATAAAACAAGAAGGAATTGTCAGAAGAAATTATTTTGGACTAACAGAAAAATCTTTACATCTCACTCCATGTGTAAAAGATGAATTCCTGCTCTTTCAGGATGCCCAGGTCACTGACATTGATTACATGGAGGCAAGGAAAGATTTCACCTATGATGGAGAGAACTTTACAGATCTCCCTAACTTTGCAGAGTATATGCACAACTATGGACAAAAATATATTATCATATTGGTAAGCATTTAATGACCTCCTTTCCCCCTTCAAACACTAATATTATAACTATTATTATACTTTGTTATTCTCTGTAATTATTGCATTTCTTACCTACAATAATTAATGGAGTGTGTGCTGGTTTCTTCTTTTTTTTTTTTTTTTCTGTTTCCTGATTTTTTTAGGATCCTGCCATTAGCACACAAAATCTATTGAATGGAAGTGCATATGGAAGCTACGTCAGAGGAACAGAGAGAAAAGTCTGGATTAATGGATCAGACGGAGTAACACCCTTAGTCGGGGAGGTAATTGTGGTTTTATGCATTTGAACTCCGTATGTTTTCACTATTACAGTTTAATTTAGGGCAGGGGACTCCTTTAAAACTCTCATTTCTAAGTTGCTTCTTTCAGTAAAATTACTACCAGTGAGAGCACTCGGGGTACAAAAATTCTCAACCTTTCTTTTTTCTTTTTTTTTTTTTTCCCCAATTTTTTACATTATAAAGGTGGTTTTTGACATTAAATTTTTTTTGCATTAAAATGAATTACTTTCTTCTCATTTTTAAATTTTAAGTTTATTTTTTCGGTAGAAATAAAATTACACTACAATTAAAGTTACATTACAATTAAATTTACATTACAATTAAAATTACATTTTTTCATGTTAACCCCAAATTTTTTCCACATTGAATGGTAGTTTGAAGGCTCAAGGGACAATCAACCAGCTCCTATTCATTTTCAGTAATAACTGAAGACCCAGCTCCCATATTACCCTTTTAATTTAAAATTTTATCTTATATTGAGAAACTTTTCAGCTGTGTATTGTTCCTTTTATGACTGACAAGAAGAATTACTGACAACTCTAGATCTAAGAAATTCATTCTCTCTCTCCCTTCAAGGTCCCTTCTGTCATCATCAGTTCTGTGATTCTGTGAACACTTTTTAATATAATTTCGTTTATATCATATAATAATATGTAGTTAATATCATAATTTAATTAATTAATTCCCTTTTAATATTTGCAGGTGTGGCCAGGGGAAACTGTATTCCCAGACTTCACTAACCCAGAGTGCACCAACTGGTGGGTGGAGGAATGCAGATTGTTTCATGACACGGTGCCATACGATGGAATCTGGATTGTAAGTAACCCAGGATTGTCATTTTTATTTTTCCTTTCCAAAACAGTCAAGGGCAGATGAATATTAAATTCAATTTGCCCTGAATTTGAAAGGGATTCTTACTCTTAGGAACCTGAAATCTGTGCAGGATGTGTCTGTCTGCTGGTGTCAAACTTTGAGTTCAGATTTGAATTTTAAATTTTGAGTCGTGAATTGTGGCATTTAAATGCTGGGTTTGGGATGTTCAGTGACACTTAAATGCTTCAATTGATGAACCATTGCCGAAAGCTAGTTCATTCCTGTTTTTGGAATGGCAATATTTGGGGACCTGCATCCCTGCTCAGTGAACATGTGCTAAATAGATCCTGAATACAGAATAGAATCCATATAAACTATGGGTTTGTGCTCCAAGTAGCTCATAGAATTCCCACTTAGGGAATCTGCAGTTGCTATTCCAGAGGAGGCTTTGGAAAATTCAGGCTTCCTAGACAAGTTTTTCCACAAAAAGGCTAAAATACAGGCTGGCATGGTGGATTTTAGATACAACTCACAGAAATCAGATGAGATTAAGAACCCTTTTGACTGGTCAGATTAGTTTTGGGTATATTTTAAGGAATAGCCTGTAATAAAGCTGCTCAAAGTGGGTGCCTGAAGGAAATTTGTACTTAAACTACTCAATCCCTACCTCAGCACCTTCTTCCTTCTACTCTGTTTTTCTGATTGTTCTGCTGCCTTTTATTTAAAAATAAATAAATACTCTGGAAGAAAACAAGAATCTACTGAATGTTTTGCCATGCATTTTAAGAAGCTGCATCAGTTTAAAATCAAACTCGAGTCCCTCAGCTGCCCTGTGTGTGGTGGGGTGGCCCAGGGTGGGCGGCAAAGCTGCTCCATCACAGTCCTTCTCAGCTGGAAAGAAAATATAGGGGAGAAAAAAATATAGCAAAAGGTTTGTGGATCAAACTAAGGACAGGGAGGTGGTGGAGTCCCCATCCCGGGAGGTGTTCAAGGAATGACTGGATGTGGCACTCAGTGACAAGGTGGGAATCAGTCACGGGATGGACTCCGTGATCTCAGAGGTCTTTTCCAGCCTTGATGACTCTGGGATTCTGTGACTCTGGGATTCCCATCACTGGCAAAACAGTCTCAATTTGGGGAAAAAATTAATTTCATTTCTTACCAATCAGATCAGAACAGGTGATGAGAAATAAAATCAGTTCTTAAAACCCTTTCCCCTGACCCCTCCGGTCTTCCCGGACTTAACCTCACTCCCAATTTTCTCTGCTTCCTCCTGCTGTGGTACATTGAGGACTCAACAAAATGTCCCAGAATGAGTTTTTCTCACTTATTTTTGCTGAGTCTGTGGTTCCATCAAGTTCAACCATGAAGTGTAAGGCTGCACAGCTCTCTTACAAAGAGCAAATAGTTGGAGTGAAGCAAATTGGTCACTTGACTGCAGCATCTCCAGGATGGATTTGCTCTCTCATTCCATGCTTTCCCTGCAGCACATTCTGGGATGCACATAGAAATGCATTTATTCCACTGTTAAACAAAATGTTCATGGAAGGAGACGGCAAAGTTTGAAATTTAGTGACTTGGAAAATCTCATAAAGGAGAGGTTTAAGAATACCAAGTAATAATTCCTTAAAGGATAAGAGAATACAATGGAAGAAATACAATGGAAGACTTTTTTAGGAAAATATTCTTATGAAAATTTTATTATATCCTGTGTCTTTCCTTTTCAGGATATGAATGAAATATCCAGCTTCGTTCAAGGCTCAATAAATGGTTGTGAACAGAATGACTTAAACTACCCTCCTTACACTCCCAGTAAGTCTTTAATCGGGAAGTAAAATATATTTATAAAAAAATAAATTATGAATTATTGTGAAATTATCTTCAAGAATACAACATGATTTTAGTTTGAACATTCCTATTGATGGAAAATCTATGTCTAATTTAGGTGTAGTTTTTACAAATGCATTTTTCCTCTTGTCAAATTATTTCTGAATATTGTCACTGCCTTATTTATGTCTGATAATATGACACTATCAGAGGAAAAAGGGGCTTTTGAACACCATGACTGTGCATGAAAGAAAAGATTGGAAATATTAAAAATAAGAATATACCTTACAAATAATGTTTTTCTTCCTTTCTTTGAGGAATTGTTGACAGGATGATGTTTTCCAAGACGTTGTGCATGGATGCAGTGCAGAATTGGGGGAAGCATTATGATGTCCACAATCTTTATGGATATTCCATGGGCATAGCAACACAGAAGTAAGAAATGCATCCTAAAATCTTCACAAAAGGGGTTTCAGAGCAGCATATGACCTACATTTTCCAAAACACCAAGGGATTTGACTGCTAAAGGAACACAATTCCTGGGAACTATTGTATTATGTTTAAACCAACTCAGATAAGGCAAAACCTGCTGACTTGAGTTGGTGGGAAAAGCCACAAATTGTTTGTCAGAGCTGTGTAAAAAGATTATTTAAAATAAACATCCTGAACTTTGCTAAAATACACCTTGCAAAACGTAAAGGATCCCACATCCCTGGGATGAATAATTAGTATAAATCAGTGTAAATCTACCTTATGTGGAACTATGAATGTCTGAGTTGTCTTTGTATAATTCCAGTCTCATTTCCTTTTAAGAGCCATCGAGACTGTGTTTCCTGGAAAGAGGAGCTTCATGATTTCAAGGTCTACTTTTATGGGATCAGGAAAGCAAACAGGACACTGGCTGGGAGATAATGCAGCAACGTGGGATCACTTAAAATGGGCAATACCTGGAATGCTGGAGTTCAACCTCTTTGGAATTCCTTATGTATGACATCATTTTGTGCCATCCTTTCAAAACCCAGGGACAAGCAGTAACTCCAGCCCTGTGATAGCACTTTATCTGATCAAGCACTATCCAGTTAACCATCCTACATTTGCAGCTCCAAATTAACCCTCCTTAGGAATCTGGTTTTAGCTTTTTTATTTTTCCCAATCATTGATTTTTGGTTCAGGCTATTATTTTGATTACTGTGTGTCTGTGGTGAGATAAATGTGGGTAACAAATTTACTATTTTATACATCTCAAGCTACCTAACACTAGTGAGAGATGTAAAACGCTGGTTTTCTTATAATTTCAAATTAAATAGTGACATCCATTTATGAGGTAAATAGCCAAATTCCTTTCTATGATTTAAATTTGCATGACTTTGGAGATTTTTGTCCTAATGTCTGCATATTAGCACCAATCAGGAAGGTAAAGATTTGGAATGATGGGTAGTGTTAGCTAGTTGTCAGTTTAATTTTTTGGACAACATAATTGAATTTGGAAGAAAAAAGGCAACCCGAATGTGTTGAGTGGCTCAGTCCCCATGATTATCAATTAAGATTGAATTAATGCACCTTGTGCAGAGATCTGAGATGCAGCATCCTGTGCTTCCAACACATTCTGCTTTTATTTAAAGATTGGAGCAGACATTTGTGGCTTCTTTGACGACACCACAGAAGAACTTTGCAGACGCTGGATGCAAGTGGGAGCATTTTACCCCTTCTCCAGGAATCACAATTCTGAAGGATACATAGTAAGTTGTGCTTTTGCTTAAAAATTGCTTTGTGTTACACAACCACACTTCCTTTAATATCATTTTTAATCATTCCTATCACTGGCCAGTTTGAACACAGCAGAACCTTAAGTTTTCTTTATGAACTCTCACATCTGAGAGGTTCAGCTTCGTAAAGGTTGATTGAGGATACACTAATTTGGCTACAGTGTCTTCAGTAATTCTGACTATTGAGGGCTGTGTGACTCTCGGGAGCCCCTTGGCACCAGCCTGGCTATCAGGATAAAACCTGGACTAACCCTGAAGTTCCCTCTTTGCTGATGGGGAAGGAGGGATGTGCAGGGGGAGCCCAGAGGGGCAGGACCTGAGGCCACACCACCAGGAAGGAAAACCCAGTGCGGAGCCGCACCGTTAAATTCCAACCTCTCTGAAACAGCAGCCACTTCTCCCAGCTTTCACAGAGCATTTTCTAGGTGCTGCAAATAACAAGTTGTTGTTTGTTTTCAGTCTCAAGACCCAGCTGTGTTTGGAGCTGACTCGGTGCTGGTGAACAGCTCCAAGCACTACCTGAACATTCGCTACACACTGCTACCCTACCTGTACACGCTCTTTTACAAAGCTCACACCCGAGGAGACACAGTGGTGCGGCCACTTCTGCACGAGTAAGTTTGCTCATCAGCCTGTGGGACAGTTTTGTAAAAAGAGTTAGGCACATCAGATGCTGTTAGAGACTTTGACACCCATGTACCCTGTGAAAATGGACACTGGAATGTCTATAGACAGCTTCCCAAGACGTGAAATTCCGCTTTGGGGTAATAAGAAGGCAGTTTTTACATGACACCCTTTAGTTAAGATCCTAGACAATCAATACCCTGATACCTTGGGACTGCTGCTGATGGTACAGATCACAAAAAAACCCAGTCACTGCTCTATCCTTCCCATGTGTCCAGGTTCTACAGCGACGAAGCAACGTGGGACATCAGCGAGCAGTTCCTCTGGGGTCCTGGGCTGCTGATTTCCCCCGTGCTTTATCCAGTAGGTTTGGCTGTTTTGGGATCTGTCTTGTAAGCACATGACAAGGCACAGGGACATGTTGAGTCACCACTTTTCCCCCTTAATTTATTGCTCCCAATGAGAAATAATTTTATCCCTGCTGGAATGGAAAATCTTACACTTACCCCACTCCTATATTCCAGTCCTCTCGGGAGTCCAAGGCATCTTGGTGTGATATTCTACTTTACCTCAGCTTCAGATCATCTCTGAATTTCCTTTGGAATCAGTTTCTCTTGCTGCATTTCAGCCTGTCTGTGGCACAACAAGAGACCCAAAAGATCATGACTTGTTCTATGGCAGAATGCTGTAGATAATGATTGTCCATTCCAGCAACACGATTGCCACGGAGAAGCACAAATCATTTGTTAAATACATAAAGGGAAAGCAAAAATCTGAAAGAGGCCAGATCTGAAAAATGTGGAAATAAAGAAGATATAGAGATACTTGTGGATATGATCTGGTTCACTGGGTTAGAAGCATTGTGACTTTGGGTGGCTTGCAATGAGCTGCCACTTGGTAGAGCAGTGATTTAGTTGTCTCCCAGTGGCTTTGCAAATACTGTATTTGGGTTGCTCTCCTCCTTTTTGGGCATCACCCTGAAAACCAGGAATGCACAAGTATCAATGATTTTCTCCCAGTGAACTTTAGTTTTATTGGAATATTGAGTTTATTTGATTAAGTTGCCCTGAAATCTGAGTGTTGTTTCTTTGTTCACCTTCCAGGGTGTGAGTTACACTGATATCTACTTACCTGATGCAATGTGGTACGAGTTTGAGACGGTAAGGAAATGCAGAGGACGCCGTGGGGGTGTTTCCTAAATGGCAATGGGACTAAATTAGATAGGTCTCTGTCACCACAGCAGGGCTACCAAAAGTAAAGCTTGTGGGAAGGAGATGGTGAGACAAGGGATGAAAGGTGGTGGAGTGAGCTCATGAATCAACATCTCGAGAAAGGACTCAGATACAGGACATTGGATCATAATGATATGCAGGTGTTTGATCTTTGCATCCCCATTAGCCCAGAGATACTTACAGAACTCCAGCTCTTTCTGAAGGGAAGAATTTTGATGAAACTCAGCACTTAAGAAAGCACTCCTAGCAGTGAGTGACAACATAACCTGTTCTCTTTTCCATCTCTGTCAAAAAGGGCTATCCACTCTATTCGAGGAAACTATGGTACACTTTATCAACACCAGCAGACAAAATCGGAGTCCATTTGAGAGGAGGATACATTTTCCCTTTCCAAAACCCAGGCACCACGACAGTTGCAAGGTATTCTTCAAAACTGAAAGCTTTGATGGTTTGTTTTATTTTTCCAAGACTGGGTTGAGGAATTTTAGGTTACAAATAAGTAGCAGCTCTCATTGTATTTAGCATTTTCACCTTGAAATCTGGGAATAGTGTGAGCCACACCTCACTTCCACACCTGTTCATGTTACAGGTTCAGTGGTGAATTGTAGGTTTATTTGCATAGCAATTTGTGTTAATGTTTTAAGATTGTTTGGATATTTGTTTTACATGTAAGTCTCTCTTTCCACAGTCGCACGAATCCAATGGGACTTATAATTGCCCTGGATGATAATAATAATGCTACTGGGGACTTGTTCTGGGATGATGGGGAATCTACAGGTGAGCAGTTATCAATAGTGGAATAAGTATGATTAACAAAGCATTAAAAAGCACAAGTTTCAGTGTTCCTGCTGGTTTCATGGAGAAAAAAAAAGGATGATGTAGCACTCTGCTACTGCTTGCTCATATGTCAATAGTTTTTCATCATTTTTAAGTAGAAAACTGAAAGTACTAATTGTAAGATTAAAGTCATAACTGAATTCCACACAAGTAAAGAAAAAAAAGACACAAACCTCTAATTTGAGGTTAAACCTCTAGTTTGTGGTTTTGGCTTCCAGTGAAGTTCATGCTTTTGGAATCCATGCATGTGTAAGGAAAGCAGAGCTCATCCTGGAGCAATGGAGAGACAAGAGTGAAGTCAGAGTAATATTACCACTTGGTAAAAAAAAAAAAGGATGAATGCTGCAATATTAGCTGCATGTTTCATTTATAATTCTGGGAATTAAATAGAGATTGTGCAGATGGTGATTCATGGAATTATTTGATATGCTAGGTATCTACTCTTTAGGTGTTCAGGAGATGACAGAGATTTTCCCAGGTGATTTAGCCAAAATACTGTCCATCCATGGGTGATATCTGAAATTGGTGGTTCCCAACTGCATCCCCCTTTCCTAATTGCACAACTCCCTCGTCCTCCACATTTACACCTTCAACGTCTGTAACTCCTTTTTCTTGTTAACCAAATCAATCCCATCTCTCAGGAAAACTTCCAAGCCTCTGCTTTTTGAAATGTTGTGGAATTTAGGGATGTTTTTAAGAAATAGAGCTGTGATTCAGCTGCTTATTGCTGCCATAAATACAGAAGGCTTTGGGTGGCTGCTGTACATGTGGGTGACAACTCGATGGACTCCTTTGGCAGGGCCTAAAATAATGCAGCTATTACTGTACTCACTGCTGTTGGCAAACAAAGCACTAAAACATCTTATGATTTTATTTCCTGCCCCAAACCTACAGGTTTTAATCTTTCAGGGAAACCATTTACAATTTACTTGTGATGACAGTATTTTTTTTTTCCATAAAGTGGGAAAAGAAAGGCCAGATTGGCTCAACTTTTGTATTTCTTTTTCCTGCTCATGGGTTATTTCCTCTCTTATGGTTCCATGGTCTTTACTACTATCATCACTGTCATCATTGTTACGGGGTATTTTAAAGGGTTGGTTTTCACCCAAACATCTGTATTTAAGATAAGAAGGAACACCAGTAAAATAAAAATTGGTCCATTTTTGAAAAGCTGATTTCAACGAATTTTTGAAAAATTTGGGAATAGCAGATCTCCTGAGAGGCTGACCCAGGGGAAAAAAGAAAAAGAGAAATTTCAGTTCCTCAAGAAACATTAGCAAATATTTGAGTTGCTTAGTGCAGCTTCTGAACACAGTAATGATAATAATTAACAATTTATTGGTCTCTAGCAGTGGCACAGTCCTGGTTTTAATTCTGTTCTGCAGTGTAAGTGTAATTTCTTTCTTTACCTTTTAGGTACCATTGAGAATAGAAACTACCTTCTCTATGAGTTTATATGTTCCGATGTAAGTATTTTATTTTAAATGATCTTATTTTCAAGTTTTGATTTCTATCGAGTGTCTTCCAAGAGCGTTCTCTTCTCCTTCCTTTTTTTCCTCTGAGAAACAAAATATTCGACAAAGTCAAAGAGGAATCATGTTCAAAATACTGTAATTTAACGGGGATGAAATCTTTTGTCTTTTTTTCTACTAGTTAATATAAGTAGGTAAAGAACTCCTATTTCCTTTCACATAATAAACTCAGCAGTGATGTCTATTGAGAGAGAAAATTATGAAGCATCAGTGGTAGTTAAAACAGAGTCAAAAAGGAGGTGCATGTAGTGGTTTTGATTCTAAAAATTGTGGAAATTTAAAAAAAAAATAGGTTTTTTTTTGTACAGCTGAATGACTCCAAAGAGTGAGGAAAACCCACACATTCTCTGAACCCCTGGAAACTCCATCATGATTAAGTTTTATTGTGTTATTTGTTTAAGCTGAAATTGCCTGGTCAGGGTTATTTTACACCAGGGTGAAGTCCTGAGAGTGTTTCTATTCAATATTGACAGGAGTTATCATATAACAAGGGATTTGGACGAAACATGATAACATATTATTTGTACAATAATAATAATAATAATAATAATAATAATAATAAATATCTACTAAAGGAATTCATTCCTTTGCCATGATGGAATATCACGAGAGAAGTGAGAGAATGTAGAGGAACATGAGTGGAAGAACATAGTTTAGTAATTTTTTTTTAATCATAAGTAATCAAAGAATCATTTGTAGATAAGAAACCTCAGTTGCTGTTGGAGTTTGAAACTCCAGTAAGCAAATCATCTCTTGACTGTAATGACATTGAATTAAAAATTAACCTCAAGTGTCACATGGAGGACGTTCTACACTGGCACGTGTGACAGCCATGGTACACTTTGGCCTCTTAATCTAAGAATAATTAAGAACATTGAATAGGAAATGGTATTTTTATAATAGGAAAAGCGAATAAGAACCTTTGCTTGCTAAAACCCAGTGAGATCACAGCTGAGTGACATTTACCTGCCCTGTCACAGACACACCCCAGCCTTTTTTATTGCTCAAAAAACCAAACAAAAAAAGGAAGTTGAAACACAACTCTGAAGCACATTATACAGACAGGAGAAAAGCATTATTGTGATAACAAAAAGCAGAGCAAGAATTATTATGTTAGGAAACTTAGATTGGCTTACTTTATGCTATAATATGAAAATCTGATCAGAAAGAAATAGTTAAATCAAGAGGACTTTTGGCAGACTTTTTTTCTTCATGAGAATGTGTCCACTATTTTTCAGAATACTCTGCACATCAATGTTGCATTCAACAACTACAGTGATCCAAACAACTTGATGTTTGAAGAAATCAGGATATTCGGAGTGCGCCAGGAAGTAACATCAGTCACTGTGTATGAAAACAATGTTGTGCAAAATTATCCACTTAATATCAACTATAGTTCTTTATACCAGGTAAAACAATAACAGGAATATGGAAAGTAAACATATTTCAAATTACATGGGTTTTGTTTTGTGTATTACAAAGGACAGTCCTCAGTGCTAGTGCCATTTCAGTAAAATATAATGTGAATTTTATTGCAGAATGAAAGAAAAATTGCATTCAACTCTACTGCATAAAAGTGCATCTAAGTTGTGGTCTCACACCCTCAGTGCAGCAAACAGTTTATTATTTATTATTATTTATATTAACTCGTGTATTTATTTCGGTTTGCTTCCAAGGAAGCTGTGGGATTAATTCAATTTTTTTAGATTCCTAATTTTTCTGATTTTTGTCTGCAAGAATATCAGTTGTGTGTGTTTGTAAAAGTGAGACTGGATCAAATACTACAGGACAGGGGGTTTTGTGAGCTGTCAAGTCACAGAGTGCATTATCCTTGAGCACCAGCACCTCTGCTGACTGAAGGAAAGATGGATGGGATGTGACATTTAATAACTCTTTATTGTTTAATATTTATAGACTGCCACTATAACAGGACTTCAGCTTGAACTGGGAAGATCTTACACAGTACAATGGCAGCAAAACACAACTCTCGAGGAAAGGTTTGATTGTTATCCCAGTCTTGATCCAACAAGAGAAAAATGTGAACAACTTGGCTGTACCTGGGAAGTAAGTAATTATTTTCTCTAAACTAATGAGACAGAAAGATTTCCAGAGTCAGAGCTTTTTCTTTGTGGTTATTACGGAATAAAAAGTAGTTTGGTAGATTTGTCAGCTTTAAATAAAATGGGGTGCAGATCTCAGCTGGCCTGTATTGCTGGGTTTTGTTCTCCTCACTAGTTGGCAATGGGGTAAACTCTCCCAAAGTGCATCAGAAATTGAGGAAAAATGTGGTATTTTTTGAAAGATGGAAAGAAATAGTATTAGAGTCATGAAAAAGGATAATAACACCTGCAGCTGCCTCTTCTGCTTCACTGGCACCGTGACCTGAAAGGCTCATCCCCTTTGTCTCACCTTCACAGGCAGTGAGGGACATTTTAAATCAAATCAGTTCCTCTGGATCTCAGTTTGAGGGGAAACCCTTGAATCTCCCGGAAATTTTGACTCTGATGTGACCTTAATTGTTTAAACCCATGTCAAGGAGCTCTTTCCAAATCACAGTCTCCAACGTGGAGTTGTTTAACACACTGTTTCATTTATTAATATCCCACAGCTCTAAACTGAGCTTCAGAGGGTCCCTCCAACTAAATTACTCCATGCTCCTCTAAATCCAAAATGTACATCTTGGGCTTATCCCCCAGGAATGATGACCAAATTTCTCTGCTGGTGCTTTTGAACCAGCAACAGCTGAAGGGGCTGATGAACTCTCCTGGTTTTATTGTACTATTAAGAGTTTTTTGGTTTTTTTTTTTGTAATTTTGGACATTCAGAAGTGTTAGGAGATGTTAGATAAGTAGGGTGCAATTTTCAGTGGATGTTTTAAGGATAATTTGTAGAAAAAAGCCAATGGAAAGATCTCTGATGTTGCCTCAATATTTGATGAGTTTGAGGCACATCCCCTCGAAGGCAGTTGGAGACCAGAGAGCAGCGGGATTGAAAGGGAGGAAGCTTTGGGACTGAGAGTGAGGAAGCTTTAGGAATTTCAACAAGCCAGGATTAAACCATGAGCTGAAGATCAGAGAGACAGGGAAATTAAATCCACCAAGGCTTCAGTTTCCTGACTGAACTATTTGTACAGTCTTCATTGAATTGTTTTATTCTATCTGATTTAGTGTAGAGATCAATGAATTCTGTGATATTTCTTTATTGTTGGTAGTTGCATTAAGCTTTCCCTCAAATCCTACATTTGATGGATGTCTGATAAAACCGGGATTCCATGCTGTAAGGAATAAAACAATCTGGCTCCTTAACCTGTAACTTCTTTCTGTTTGCATCAGGAAACACAAAATGCGGACGCCCCTTCCTGCTACTTCAGCTCTGACAGCCCTTACTACCTAGAGAACATCCAATACTCCTCCACAGGGGTTGTGGCTGACCTGACTTTGGACAGTGCCAGGATCAGAGCTAACGAGGCTTACATTACTCCCATCAGCACCCTACGCGTGGAGGTCATATATCACCTCGACAACATGCTGCAGTTCAAGGTAATCCCACCCCAGGACTTCCAGGAGTTGTTAAAAATAACCTTGGTTATGGAAATTATGACAGCTTTCTATAGTCAGGTTTATGTTACGCAGGCAGCAGCACCTTTGTCTAAATATGTTTCTCCTTCTAAGCAATTATTTGTTGTTGCTCTTTGCTCGCATCTTTTTTTCATCGTGGAATTTTGTGCTCAGTTTTACAACGAAATGAATCAAAGGTATAATGTGTAATGTCAACCAGAAACTTTGAAACTGAAAGTATTTTGTTAATATACAGGTAAATATATCTATAAACGTTATCATGACTCTACACCTGGTTTTTACATCCATCATTCTACTTCTGTTCTAAATTTTTCAATACACTGTTGTTTAACTGTAATCTATGGCCATACATTTCACAATACTGAACTAAGTGTGATGTCATAAAATGATCAGACATCAAAAACTAACTTATTTCAACTTTCAGAATACAGGAATCGTTAAAAAAACTTTCTAAAAGTTGAGAAAAAGATTAATTAGAGAGATATTTACCACACACAGAAAGTATGAATATTTTCAATATAAGTACATGCTTTACATTCATATAGATAATTAGACAAACCATTCCTGATCTAAAATGAATCCTTAAGGATTTTTTTTTTTCCCAAGCAAAATACTGTGAAATAATTGTAAAGAAAATGTATTGAAAGAAACTAGTCAGCAAGTGTTACAAAATCACAGCAAGTGTTTTAAAAATCATATCAGATTTCTCTCACTATTATAGGTAAGATTTCAAACATGTTGCTTATTGGAATAAATTGATTTCTCCTTCACAGATCTATGATTCTGAAAACCCACGATATGAGGTCCCAATCCCACTAGATCTCCCCAGCTCCCCAACAAGCTCAAGCCAGAGCCGACTTTATGAAACATCCCTTCAGATAAAACCCTTTGGAATACGAATCCAGCGCAGGAGCACAGGGACAATCATGTAAGTCACTGTCACTTTATGCTATTTTATTTTATTTCACTTGTGGTTTTTTAACTCTTTTCAAGCCAAACTGTTTTCTTGTGCTGGAGTTAGGGACACTGACAGCTCCCAATGGGTGTTCCTTGTGTAATTCCCAGCTTTTGGGGGTGGGGGGGGCACAGCGATTTCCTACACTTCCTAAAATATTCCTTAGGTGACCACAGCACTGAACATTAAGGATTGACCATTTCGTTCAGTTTTGGGGAATGGTTAGGAAAAAAAAAGTACATAGAAGGAAGTAATGTCTCGACTAACTTATAGATGGGTTTTGGTACATGACAGGAGCTTCACTTCTCTCTTTGATTAGTTCAGAGCTAGAAAACAGAAAGCAATGATGTTAGCAGCTGTGTGTTATGGTTTTTATTAAAAAAATTCAGTTATTTCAATTTTTAAAGTTCTTAAGACTTAATTGGAAACTGGGTTCCCTTTTGCCAACCAGAGTAATAATCCAACCCGCAGTTCAAGCTCCTGGAGCAATGTAATTCTTTGGCAGAGCACCGTGAGGTTACAGCTTGATTTCTAACTCTAAAGATGCTGATTTACAACAAATGTGACCTGTGAATGCAATTTCAGTATAATCTGCACAAAAAGTTCAGTGAACTGTAAAAAGCACCTTACTTTCTCTATCCCATTTGGCACCAGTGCTCAGTGTGGGAGGCAAATACTGTCCTGAAACACATTTTGTCACTAAATTGCCAAAATACAGTGTAACTTGATGACCATGATACCTGTGCATAATATATCTCTCTCTGAGAGGCTTTGTGTCTCTAAACTGTTTATCAGTTCTTATACACCCCCATTTCATGTGCTTTAAGTTTTCTTGAGAACCACAACGGTTCTATTCCCTTTTTACTGAAGAGCGGGAATTTCAGAGGAAGAGTAACCTAAAAAAAGCATCTGCCGGCTCAACACAGCACCGAGGCCACACTCCACTCTTCTTTTCCTCTTCCCTTTTCAGCTGGAATTCAGCCCTGCCCACCTTCACCTTCAGCGACATGTTCATCCAGATTTCCACCCGCTTGGCATCCGAGTACATCTATGGATTAGGGGAGTCTGAAAAACCCACATTCCGAAACGACATCAACTGGCAAACCTGGGGGATGTTCACCAGGGATCAGCCTCCTACTGTAAGTACCAGAAAACACGACTTTTGGGCCAATGAGTCCAATGCTCAGAGTTGTTCAGTAGGATTTTAAAGTCCGGTACTGGACACACCCATTGGCTTTGATCATATTTGTCAGGGCTTGTAATTTGAACGGTCTCAATGGTAAAGGTCTTGTGTAAAACTGTCCTTCATGGTCTGCTGGACCAACGTGTGGAGCTCAGACCTTGAGCTGGTGTTAGAAGATGACAAATGGCTTAGAAATAACAGCACATTCCTCCTTTTTTATTATTCTAAAAGTTAGACACGAGTCAGGGCAACTCCTACTATTTTGGGATTAATTTAGTACCCACAGGGGTAATTCCGCAATCTTTTGTCTGTTGCTGTTATTTCCTACAAGATGCCACATTGGCAATTTGCTGAGAATGACCAATGGAAGTGGTGGTTAATTATAGCTCTAATTCCCAGGTCAGGTTTGAATATATCTTTGAGAAAATGAAAGATATCAGAATGTCAGCAGCTTCTCCTGAGCACGTAAACAGCTGATCTTGTTTGAAAAGGGAAAGTTTTGTCCTGAGGAAGGGCCTTCTCATTAGTGAGTTTTAAGGGCAGTAACACCTTTGCTTTCCTTCCTGCCTGGGCAGCCTGAACAAGGCTGAATGGAGTTGTGAAGCTGGAAGGTAAATATGTTTTGTAGGTGTGTAGAGTTTAGGTATATAATTTTGAAGTTTCTTTGTTATGTCTTTGGCAGTTGTGCCTCGTCTTTTATTAAATGTATTACTAAATGTAAATAAGCAAATGTTTGTGATGTTTCCCCAGTAAAATGTGGTTTATTTTATTTGCAGTACCAGTTGAATTCCTATGGTTATCATCCATTTTACATGGCTCTTGAAGAAGATGGTAATGCCCACGGGGTTTTGTTGCTTAACAGCAATGCAATGGGTAAGGAAACTTTCACTTTATTTCACAGAAGCATGGAATGGTTTGGGTTGGAAGGGACCTTAAAGCTCATTTCATTCCAACCCCCGTGCCCTGGGCAGGGGCACCTTCCACTAACTCAGGTTGCTCCAGCCTGGCCTTGGACACTTCCAGAGATGGGGCAGCCACGGCTTCTCTGGGCAACCTATGCCTCACCTCCCTCACAGGGAAGAATTTCTTCCTAAAATCCAATCTAAAACTACTCTCAGTTTAAGATCATTACCCCTTGTCCCGTCGCTCCAGGCCCTTGTAAACAGACTCATTCCCTCTTCCTTAATGGGTTTTATTTTTATGGACAGTGTTTTGCAGCAGTGGCAGATCCAGGTGCCCTTTACTCATTTCCTCTCCTCCATTCCCAGATGTGACTTTCCAGCCAACCCCTGCCCTGACCTACCGGACAACCGGAGGAGTTCTCGACTTCTACGTGTTTTTGGGCCCAACGCCGGAGATGGTTGTCCAGCAGTACACAGCAGTAGGATCCTTGTTCTCGTACAAACTGATGCTGGGTTTGGGTTGGTTGCTTTGTTCTCTCTTCACCTGCTCACCACAAATATTTTTCCTCCCCTCCAGCTGATTGGACGGCCGGTCATGCCAGCCTACTGGTCCTTGGGATTCCAGTTGTGCCGCTACGGATACAGGAACGACTCAGAGGTCTCCCAGGTGGTGGAGGAGATGAAGGCAGCTGACATTCCCCATGTACGCTGGGAACAATTCATAGCTGAGCTCATTCCTGCAATTTTGGCTTCATAGCATTAACTAGGACCTATTTTAAACACAAAATCAGAGATCAACCAAAAAAAAAACCCGCCATGGTAGAGTAGAGCAGATTTTATGCCACAGCTGAACACCTCTGCAGACTCTGAGCCTTGTTAAATGTGGGCCTTAGGCTGCTTTATTTTCTTTATCATTCCTACCAAAGCAGCACGAAGGAGCAGAGATCAACAAGGAAAGCAATCAGGGGAAAAAAAAGAAGCAGCTTTCCATAGTACTCTGTGTCATGTCTACTGTGATTCATCACAGGTTGCTAGGAAGGTTGGAATAGCACATAGACCTAACAAAATTATATTATAAATTGAATACGACTCCATTTTAACTGCAGTTAATATCAAGGTTTCGATATAGAACAACTATTTCCACTGTTTTCTTATAGATACAGAAGCACATGTGCAGTTTCTGTGTACATACATATATATACAAATCCAGGAATTTTTTTCTCTATCATGTATCAATTTCTACCCTCAGACTGGATGCAGCAGTGAAGGACTTATTTTGAATTGGACTTGCTGATAAGTTGTGTAATATTCATTTAACAGCCTTCGTCTCAAGTTACCACTGCTTCCAATTTTACAGATCAAACGTTCAGTATTTTACTTATTTTGGCAGATTTTCAATATTTAGCAAAAAAAAAAAAATGAAAAGAGAGAAATTAATTTAAATTAATTTTTTTGTTGGTTTTTGTTTTGTTTTTTGAACTGCAGGATGTCCAATATGTAGATATTGACTACATGGAGAGGCAACTGGACTTCACCCTTGGCACACGCTTTGCTGGATTACCAGCTCTGATTAACAGAATCAAAGCAGATGGAATGAGATTCATCATCATCCTGGTCAGTTTGGAACAGTACTTTTAAATTTCAGTACAGCATTGTAGAATGCAGAATATATTCAACAGCTTTATAAACTTGGGGTTTGAGTGTAAAAGTGGTTTTTTATTGTAGGATCCAACCATTTCTGGAAATGAAACCAATTATCCTACATTCCAAAGAGGTGTGGACAATGATGTCTTCATAAAACGGCCTAATTCCGATGAAATTATATATTCCAAGGTACTGTACAGGGAAGAACAGTTCTTTCTGTCTGTTCCTGATGCTCAGATTTCATTCAGTGTGATTTGATTCTTTGAAATATTCTTTTTCCTATTAGGTCTGGCCATTCCTTCCTAATGTAGTAGTTAATGAGTCCCTGCCTGAGCAAACCCAGATACAGGTAAGTATTGATAAGGTTTGATTTGGGACTCAAATTAGATGTTAATTAATAAAAATAACAGCAAACTAATTGATTAATCTCATGGAAGGAATAACTGTCAGAAACTGGTCAACCTTCCTAATAGGCAAAAAAATTAGCCAACAAGTAATTATTTTTTACCCTTCTTATTTTATTTTTTTATAAAATTCCAACATTTTAACAGTAGTATGCTTTTAATCTTGTATCTGTCTCGTTCCTTCTATTTTTCCAGCTCTATGGAGCACATGTTGCTTTCCCAGATTTCTTCCGCCCTTCTGCAGCTGAGTGGTGGAAGAGAGAAATCCTGGAGTACTACAACAATACCAACAATCCCGAGAACAGTGTCAAGTTCGATGGCCTGTGGACTGTAAGTGTAGAAATCCATCTGATTTCTGGATTGTTTTTCTCTGCCATTCATTGGTGGAGAGGGACACAATTCCCAGCATCTGATGCTGCAGCTCAGATGTTTCTGGTGTTAAATTCCCATTAAGTAGAGTTTGGACTGGATGATCTTGGAGGCCTTTTCCATTAATGATTCTATGATAAGTAAAATAAAAACATAGGGACACCTTCCACTAGCCCAGGTTGCTCCAAGCCCCGTCCAACCTGACTTTGGACACTTCCAGGGATGGGGCAGCCACAGCTTCTCTGGGCAACCTGTGCCAGGGCCTCACCTCCCTCACAGGGAAGGATTCCTTCCCAATATCCCTGCCCTCCTTCAGATCAAGGCCATTCCCCTTGTCCTGTCACTTCATGCCCCTGTGAAAAGTCCCTCTCCAGCCTCCCTGTAATCCCCCTTCATGGAACATGAAAAATCAGACTAAACCTGCAGCTGCAGGGTCTCCTGAGGAATTCTACAACGCTCTTCTTTGTAATTCAGGGTGAAATGGGTTCTGTAGGCTTGAAACCAATACAATGGGGTTTTGCTCTTTGTTTTTAGGACATGAATGAACCAGCAACTTTTTATAACGGTGCTCTTGATGGCTGCAGAGACGACCTCCTAAACAACCCACCCTACATGCCTCGTAAGTCTGATCTCTCCTTAAATCAGTTTTAGGTTGTTCTGTTACCACATAATTTCTTACCTCTTACATGAGGTGCAAAAACCTAAATAAAGATGGGAATATAAACCCACAGCCCCTTTATTTCTGAGATTCTGGGCAGCTGTTTCAGCAGGAGCAGCAACTCTGTGGCACTTCTTAAAGTTATTTTCAGCTCCTTGCCTGAATATGGATTTTGATACCTATTTAATATCTAAGTGCTTTGCTTGAGGCATGGCACAGAATGTAGCTCTGTGTTTTGCAGTTTTCTCAGATGAATAATGCAATTAATTAAAAATTTAGAAAATATCCATGTGTCTCCTCTAATTACCATTTATCTGTGCAGTCAAATGCTTGAAATGCTTTGCTTTCTTAGCTTGGTTTCACTGAAGAACTGGTATAAAGTAGTACTAATTAGGAATTATTTATCAATGGTTTATTAGCATACTCTTGTTGCTTACTGTTGTATTCCATTTTTATGAATAGTTTCTCAGGAATTTTCAAGAAATTAATAGTCAGACACAGACCACACCCCCACCAAACCCATTTTTCTGTTTGTATGGGTGTTATGATGATGTTTACAAAGATTTGGAATATTTTCTGATGTATTTTGTTTACTCTTTGAGCTTCCTCAGTAAGAACATCTGTAACTGCACTATTAAAACATTTACAGACCCAGATGCCTACATAGGAATATTGGAAATATTCCATTTTGGAAATGCTATTTTTATAATTATAAATGAATAAATAACTAAATGCCTGATAGAGATTGAAAGCCTAATAGATTATGAAAATTAAGAAAAAAAAACCACATTATTGCACGCTTATTATTAACAAACAAATATTTTTCTTCCTTTTCCACAAGATTTGGGATTCAGGTCAGAGGGATTAATTGTCAAAACTCCATGCATGGAAGGTGTACAGTATCTCCCAGATGGGACTGCAGTCAGACACTTCGATGTCCACAGCCTTTACGGGTGGTCGCAGGCAAGACCTACCTTAGAGTAAGTGGACTTTGCACATTTCCTGCTGTCCCCCAAATATGGTACAAATGAATATTCTGTGTCAACATTCTTATGACCAAAACTTTTATCATTTTATTTAAGATGCCTTAGAAGGGTTTGCGTAATAACATCTTTGATTCTCTGGTCAGAAGTTGGTGTTATTCCAGTCATGTCACAGGAAGGGTGGGGGAAACCTGAGCTGCAGCAGAAGGGGAGATGGGTCTGGGCAGGTCTGAGCTGCAGCTTTGCTTCCATGATTTCACTGCAATAAATCCTTTCTGCACTTGGAGCCAGGGAGAAGGGAAAAAACCCACCCCCAACTCATAGAGCTGCCGCCACATCCCTAACTGTCTCAGGACAAGCAAGCAGAGACTTTATTTTGAGTTTAGCAGCTTTAAAATCACTGACCCTGAGCAGGCACGATTTACAAGGTACATTTTAAAGACAGTTTACTCAAGTCTGGTACTAAAGAAACTTATTTTTCACCTGGCTGGGGAGGAATTCTTGGTATATCCTTTCTGAGGGCCTCATCCATATCAATGATCTGCTGGGCAAGCTGCACTGCTGACCTGCATTATGAAATAAGGTGGTCACAGTGCTATTGCTCAGATACCTTAATTTGGATGGAATTACTCTCCATCAAGTGTTTCCTTACCCCAACACATTCCAAGACATGTGAAAACACCAAGAGGTGTCTGTTCTGAGGGCTCCCCAGGGTGATGCTCTGCATTGTAAGTGAGAGCAGGAGACCCACCAACTCGGGTGTTCATTCCCAGGGCACAGAACAGGGTTTGGATCAGCTGTGGGGAACAGCAATTGCTCAATGAGAGACTCACATAATTACTGTAATTAAAATAGAACATACTTATTGTCTCTAGGTTTTGCTGTGATTCCCTGGTTTATTCCTGGGCTGATGCTGATTTTTCCTTACACTTTACATCCAGTGAGGAAAAATGAAGATAGTTTTTCAGTCCTATTAATTTAAGAAGGGCTCACTTATGTTCTCTAAAACAAATCAAGTACAAGTGAAAAGATGGAACAGTGACTTTTAAAATGCAAAGTGTGTGCATAAAGCTTTACTTCCAAGCATTTATTTTCCCAGTTCTAAGGCAATATCTGTTCCTCTGAACAGTCCCCCAGCCTGCTTTAGATAAGGTCTGATCTAATGATAAAGTCTCTGTGCTCTTTCATTTACAATTCCAGGAGTAAGCAAGGAACAGCGTTTCTCTATAAGTCTAAATGACTTTACAGCCCTTGGTAACTTTGATATTACCATAAAGAAAATATCAAGGCTGCTTGAATTTTGGAGTGGATGTTCTGTTTGGCTGCTTGACAGTCAAGGTAGGAGTGAAGCTGCTGACAGGACGGGAAGGAATGTCTGATCCCTCTGCTGTCAGCCCAGTCCCATGGGATTTGGGCATTGTAAGTAGAAAATAATTTAACACTGAGAGGAATATTACCACCTTTTCTGTGTATTATGTATGAACTGAAATGTAGTGAAAAATTTCCTTCTGTTTGGAGGGATACCATGACAGAAACCACTGTGATAAATTACCCACCTTGTACAGATATTCCTGCACTTAAATTTTCTAGAAAAATATGAGTTTGGAAAAAATGTATTTATATCATCATATATATATCTCATATATATCTATTCTTTGCTACTAAGTGAAGAAGCACTTGTGCAGCTGAAGACATGTTGTAATAATAATTTATTCTACTACTAAACCTTTCTAACAGGAAGAGCATTTGCATGCAAAACAGATAAAACCCTGTAAATGGAAAGTGAACATCAATTTTTTTATGTAACTTGGTGTCATTTCAGTTCTCCATCCATGAGACAGAGGAACTTCTGGATGTTACCTTAATGCTGTTCTTTTGTAAGGAGGCTTTTGCAGTGCCAGAACCCTTTACTAGTGAACACAGGAACTGTCTGGAGGTAAATTCAGGCTTTATGACATGAGAAATTGCTTTTTATGGATACTTTGGCTCAGTCCTGGAGCAACAGCAACATACTTGATCTGTGCTCATCATTGAGCAGTTCTAAACATGACATACTATGTCTTTTCTTTTCAAATTTTAGCTGCCATTTCCAAAGCTTTATTGACACAGGGAAACCAAAGAGGGAATGAAAATGTTGTGCACTGTGTTGCAAAGAAATAAAAAAGCCTGGAAAACTTACTGTTTGTCTTGGAAGAAATAATTGTGGCACATTAGTTCATTTAATTGCTCCAGTAATTTAAGTGACTTGTGTATCTTCGCTGTAATTACAGTGGCACTAAAGCTGCAAATCCTATAGAAAAATAAGTAAATAGTGCTTTATAAAGCAACTCTTTAAGCAATTAAGGTGGATCTTTAACTAGAGAGCAGTGGGACTTAATCAGGGCAGGTTTCTGACCAGTATTGTGGTGTAGGATTTGCTGTGGTGATTCCCAGTGCACGACTGCAAAGGGATTGTTCTCAGGAAGAGGATGCACAGCAGAGAAAGGTGTTTGTGTCCTTGATGGAGCAACTGGGAAGCACAAATTCCCCTGGACTGAGAAATATATTCAGTTATTTGAGGAGTGGAGCCAATTGTTGAACGTGTATTTTCAGCACACCAAAACGGGGAGGAATGTAATAACTTGTTTTTCCTTTCAGCTGTGATGCAGTTCCATGTCTTTGAAATACCTTGTGCAAGCTCATGAGTTATGACCTTCCATATCTTATCTTGATGCTGTAAATGATTTTATAGCATTGCAATGACAGTTTTTAAACTTTCACACAGGAGCTGATATCTGTGGCTTCTCCCAAGACTCGGAGTATGAGCTTTGTCTTTGCTGGATCCACCTGGGTGTGTTTTACCCAAACTCCAGCAGTCCCAACCAGAGGGGAGCAAGGTGAGTGTCAATCATGGTTCAATGCCCACAGAGGGGCTGCTCTGGGACTGGGATCACTGGAAAGAAGCCCATTCTAAATTTGACTGAACCAAACTCCTGCATGTTTTCCCCTCTATGCCTTTTGGATTTGAATGTGCTACATCAAGACTAAAATAGAGCTTCAAGGAGTAAAACTGACCTTGGTGCTCTCAGCCCTAATTGCCCATAATTACCCAACAAATGAGAAAATGGAGCAGTGTAATAAGATGCTGGAGTAAGACTCGGAAATGTCTGTGCTTTGCACATTTGCCACCATCAGATATTGTATTTCTGCTCAAAGGAAAGGGAAATAATTGCCTAAATGTAGGTCTGTGCTGGCTAAGGACTAGGGTGGAGAAAGCTGTAAAACAAGATAACTGGGAAAAGAAAAAACAGTGGAAACAGCACTTCTATTCCAGTTAAAGCTTGAGGTCTAGGAGAGCAGAGCTATTTATATGGAATATATCTAATGGATTAAAGTCTCCTTTTCAAACCCCCTGGGCTTTATCTCGCAGTGACACACCTTTGGATAGGCCCGTTAAAGCCTTAAAAATGCAGATTCAGGGTTATCATGCTGCTCCCAGTCTTCCCCAATTTGCCAAGGTATTGTTCCCTACGTTTAATAAAGACTGGAAGTGCTCCCTGCCATCAGTGCTCCGTGCTTGGTGTCCCCTTGCAAGTCCAGAGAGCTGCCCTGTGGAAAAGAGGGATGATAAATTCTGTGCATTGGGATGTGTCCCACCTTGGGGACACTTGGTATTAAACATTCTTTATAGTATTTCCCCTAGCTTCCCTCTTAGGGCTGACAGTGAATCCTACAGTTTTTAGCATCACTTGTTCCATATTTAAGAAAAAATAAACAAAAGTACTTGCGTTTGTTGGAGAAATATCCTTGGATTTATCTTGCTCTGTTGATACTTTATTTCCAGCTGTTCCCAACAGAAAATCCAGCTTCACTAACAATGGTTTCCTCTTTTCCAGAGGCAAGATCCTGCTGCCTGGAATTCAACATTTGCTGAGGCTTCCAAGAAGGTGCTGAATGTCAGATACACCCTGTTACCTTATCTCTACACTCTAATGCATGATGCCCATGCCAACGGCAGCACTGTGGTCCGTCCTGTATTGCATGAGTAAGTGCAACTCCTCTGCTCTCCTTATCAGGAATTCCCATTAAAACTTCCTCAGTGAAGACCCCTCTAAGTTTTCTCTTCATTTCAGCATTTTCCCCTTCATTAAAAAACAAGTGTTGACTGAGGAACACTGATTTGTTTGCACGTGGTGACCTGATTTTTCCAAAGCAACTGTCCAAGAAAACAGTGGCACAAATTAAAAAGTGGTTCCCATGATTATTATTGCACATACCAGGCAGGCACAACAAACCTTCAGAGTTTTATTGTCTAAATCCACCAAAAAGCCAAAGCAAAGAAATGGAAAAAAAAATAAAGCTAAGTACTAGCATTTCAATAATGAGGCTCACATTAGGATCTTTATGCATTCCTGGCAACCATTAATTAATCTGTGCATTATTAATGCTAAAATAAAGATGAGGAAATGGTAGATAGTAGGAGGAGTAGGTTCAATGGCTGACAAAAATGTCTTAAAGAAGGAACACCTTGGAAAAGTTCACCTCTCAATGTCTAATTGTGACAGGTTTGTGGACGACAGAACAACCTGGGACATACATGAGCAGTTCCTCTGGGGGCCTGCCCTGCTCATCACCCCTGTGTTGCAACAGGTAGGTTGATTTTAAGCAGTTATGAAAATATTAAAGCTTCACTTTTTGATTTAAGGTGCCTAAAACACGTGTGTTTAATTCCAGAATGCTGTAACAGTGACGGGTTACTTGCCCCGTGCCCGCTGGTATGATTACTACACTGTAAGTCACTTAAAAACTATATTTTATGTCTTCTTCCCAGTGCTGAGGGTGGTGGGAGGTGGGAACACTCTCCTGCTTAATTTGCATTTAACATAAGTTCCTAGAAATATAAAATCTACTTAGCTGATTAAAAATAAATCCTTGATTCCTGTATAATAACTTGCCCAGGGTTAGGGTAAGTTAAAAAGTGAAATAATACCTTTAATTTAGAGCCAAATTGACTTTTTTAACCTTCAGATTATACACAGAATATCTTTGTAATGGAATCCTGGAACATAGAAAGACAAAGTAGGTTTAGCTTCATCATCTTTCTTGGAAAATAATAAAAGATTTGGTCATAGAAAGAGCAGGGATCAAACTTCATTAACCACAGGTTTGGATTTCACCTGACTGGCCCCTTTGGTTCAGCTGCTGCACCTCCAGCCAAGTCTTTCATACAGCCAAAAATTTCAGAATTTCTCTTAAAAGCATTAGTAGTTGCTCCTGCAGTAACAACTACTAATTAATCTGTCTAGAAGAACATTATCTTTTCATTCTAAAAAAAACCACCAAAATCAAAAAAAACACAACCACCTGTAAAACTTCTTTTTTGTACATAGGATGAATATGTTGGCTTTGGGGGGGGACAATACCAAGTTTTCCCAGCTCCTTTGGATCATATCAACCTGCATATCCGAGGTGGACACATCCTTCCTTGGCAAAATCCTGCCAGGACAACTTTTTACAGGTAAGATCAACCGAAAATTTTTAAATTTGTTTTTTTTTTTCTCTTTGCTCTTCTCCCTGAAATTTGATAGCATGGGGCTTGGGAAGATGGTTACGGGAGGTGAACTGGGTGCTGTGCAGTATCCCTTTACAAATTGTAACATCAGAGAAATCTGAAATGTGATTTGCTGAGGAAACGGAGGGAAAATTATTGTGTTTTCCACAGCCGGCAAAACCCAATGGGACTCACGGTGGCATTGGATGACAGTCTGTTTGCAGAAGGACACCTTTACTGGGATGATGGGGTTATGATTGGTATGTCTGGTGCTTCTTGCCTTCATAAAACCCTTTTTATTTTTTTATTTTTTTTTTTTTCTGTGAGAATGGTCAAATACTGCAACGGGTTGCCCAGAGAGGCTGTGGAGCCTCCACCCTTGGAGATATTCAAAACCCAAAGTAAAACAGATAAAACAAAACCCGAGGATGAGAAGTGAGGAGACAGGAAACAAACTCTGCAGTGGTGTGGGGTGTTTGAGGAGAAGCTTTAGGAGCAGAGGGAAATGATGGACTCTGGACAAAGCCATCACATTTCTGGAGGACATACTTGAACCTGCCTTCAGAGGCAAAACTGAAATTAAACCATTATAGAAACATGATTTTTCCCGATTTATTCCACATAATGCTACGATTTACAGAATTAATATGTTGTATAAATGAAATTGTACCCTGGGTCTAAGGCAGCACAGATAACAAAGATTCATCCTCAAACCTATGGGAGCCATAACCAGAGATTATGTGGGAGCTTTAGCTAATTTCCTCGACACCACTAAATTTCAGATAAGAGATATTTAAATATCATTTGTCCTTTCCATCCAGAGAGCATCACCCCTCTAATAACAATAAACTGCCACCCAAAATTACTGCAAGGAATGCAGAAAATGGGGTTGTTTTGCATGATGATGTGGAGGGAAGTTTGCAGGATGCTGTTGGTGCATCCTGAGGGGCTTCACAACACCCAACATTCCTGTCAGCACTGGAATTCAGAAATGATGGCCACACTTATGGAAGTCTGATGACCAAATGAATTCACTCAGGTTACAAGGTGCATCTCAGCAGGTGCCTGTGATCTGTTTTCAGTAGTCAGGAGAGGCAGGAACCTCATTCCAGTGATTCTCAGCACTACTCCGAGTGCCTTTAAGGCTGAATAATAGGAGTGGTAAAATATGCAACAACAATTTCAGAGATGGATCAGCCTTTATCCTGGTCATGTGTCACATGGAATTGGACAGGGAATAGAGGTGGGTGTGGGAAATGAATCTTCAGTGAGAAAGAAACGTCTTTCTCCTTCTAGTCTAAACATCCCTGATCTTCCTAATGCTGTTTCATTGCTTTTTTTATATATACTTACCTCTAAAATGTTCTTTTGGCCTCATTTAAACAGCACACATTAAATCCTGAAAGTATTTGATATCTAATATATCTTCTGGAAATGCACAACTTCTCTTTATTTACATATAGATACATACCATATAATTGTGTGTAATATATGGACACAATTCTTGAACTGAAATTTTGATAATAAGGAGGTTAGAAAATACATTTTACTTTATTCTTTCTTTCTAACAGATGCATATGAAAATGGTCAATATCTGCTGACATCATTCACTGCTAATCAGGTAAGTCACATCAGCTCACATTATTTGAATAATCACTTTAGGTGATTATTATTGTATTTTAACTATGGGTATTTTAATTTGGATCTTTATAGTACCTATATATCCCCCCAACATTAAATTGTGCTCATAATTGAATGAATTACAAATTATATGATTAAACTGTGCTGAGAATGAATTTAGGAATGATTCTGAATTATAAATTATAGTGTTTTGTTAAGTAGGCTGTACATTTATGGCATTGTCAGATTTCAATTTTTATTATGTGAATAACTGGAATAAAATTAGACTCTAATTATATGGACTTTTGATTTTAAAGAAATGCTCTTTCTATTGTAGTAGAAAACACACTTTCTTATTTCATTAGCTTTCCAGGATGTCAGAATGCCTTCTAATTTTATCCACACTGTTCTTTCTTCTCATTTAATTCTCTCTTTGTCAAATAAAAGGGTGTTAATCGCTCAGGAAGAGAAGTTTGTTTTGCTAATACTCAGTATTTGCAGTTGTAAGGAGATTAGAAAGTAAATGCACCTTTCTCTTTTTTTTTTTTTACAAAAACTTGGTAAGAAAAAGCTTAATTAAAAAGGTCTTGAATCAACCAACAATGAAAACCACTCACAGTAAAAGTAATTCTAAGCACTAAATATGCAGAATTGTGTCACAGCACATTTGCATGGGATCTGGGCACATCCTAAAGGAATTGTGTGCCTGGAATATACTTAAAATCACAGTGACTGGGAATGAGAGGGGACCTGTGAGTGCTGAGGGGGTGATGGGAGTGCAGGAGGTCTTCTGGGAGGGCACAAAGCAGGGAGAGCAGAGCCTGGAGCAGCTCTCCCAGAAGCTGGAAGTGCAGGAGGGGTTTGTCCTGCAGCACTTGCTGCCCGTGGCAGGGGTTAAAAGTTTCGTGTTGCTTCACATCATTCAGCTGAGTGGCAATTAAAGGCACAGCAGAGCCCAGGATTTGGCCAGATTTATCAATGTGAAGAAAACTGAAGGGTTCAGCATTTGAAAAATAAATAATAATAATACACAGGTATTAGAAAAACAAAGTTTAAAAAGTTGGCAGTGAGAACAGCAAGTGAAAAGCTCAAGTGGACTTCATAAAATCATAAATTGGTTTGGGTTGCAAGGGAGCTTAAAGCTCATCCAGTCCCACCCCCTGCCCTGGGCAGGGACACCTTCCACTAGCCCAGGTTGCTCCAACCTGGCCTGGGACACCTCCAGGGATGGAGCAGCCACAGCTTCTCTGGACTTGTACCAATCTAATCGCAGTCTCTGATATTTGTTTTTTTCCTTTTCTTTTCAGAATGTTTTAGATATCAGGGTTTTGCACAACGGCTACACTGACCCAAATAACTTAAATTTTACTGACATTAAAGTCCTGGGGGTGCCCAGCAGTGTCACTCAGGTGACTGTGTTGCAGAACAGTGGGACAATCCAATCACCTCATGCCTCGAATTACAACAGCACCAAGCAGGTGAGATGATGTTTGCAGGGTAATGCCACCTTCACACCTGCATTTGTGCTCCTAAACCTTTGGAGATTCAGCTGGAATACCAGATTTGAAATACATTTCAACAAGATACATAATCTACCATCAGATAATGGATATAGGAAATACTGGGTGTGGTAGAGCCCTTAAGCACAGAAATTCCTGTTGAGGAACCCAAACCACTTCCGGAGGTGGAAAAGTGGTGGATTTTGGTCTGTGCTTGATTTCCACTCTTCACAATACCTTTACTTGCAACCTGTGAGATTTGAGAGAAGGAAAAGCATCTCCAGGTATTTTCAGAGTCTCTACACGACCCTGTTATTGTCAGTCTTGTCTGACAACAGTTCCATTTCCCAGCCCTGTTTGCCTCCCACTGTTTCTTGTTCTGTCAGGTCCCATTTCAGCTGTAGACATTCCTACACCATAGATGACAAATCCCACTTCTTCTAAAGTTACTGACAAACCTTCCACCAGCTTCTGAGTGCTGGGGTTTCTATCTCCATGGGCTGTGCCTGTCCAAGGCATCATCTCTTACCTTCCCAGACAATAAAATCCAACACTTCTAAAGGCAGCTGAAAGCAATCTGTTTAACTATTGTTGTTTGAGATGCAACTTCTCTGGAACATCTTCCAAATATGAACAGAACTGCTGAGATGTTGTCTTTCTGGTTTTCTGACAGAGGGAGAGTTACTGGGATTTTCCTCCCCTTCCTTTAAAATTCAGCATTCTGTTAAGACTTAGTTCTTCCTCTCTTTCAGTGGAAAGCCAGAGCTATAGAAGTGTTGTACAGAACCAACCCAAAACAAAACAACAAAAAAAGAGAGCTAAAAATGCAAAAGGGAATGGAAGTGTTTTGTTCTGCCATTGACTTTTGGATGGAAAAAAATCCACATGCATGGTTGAATTACAGCACGTTCCAAGTTTTGCTACCTTTCAAAAATTCCTTTATTTTAAAAATAAAAGGAACCTCAGTTCTGAAAGAGCCTCTGAATGAAGGAAGGGATCAGAGCACCACGGTCAGACTCCTAATTCTGTGCTGCTTAAATTCTGTTTATAGTGATACAAACACAAAGGCAAAGGAAGGGGAATAAATCGTAGTTTAAAACGAGAGAAGCCAGTATCTCTGTGGAACACAGAAAACACTGTGGATGTTCAGGGCAAAGTTACTAATTGTCCATTTTGTCTGTTTTATTCCCAGCTCCTGACAATCACTGGGCTTGAGCTGAAATTAGGCCAGAACTACACCCTGCAATGGAGCTGAAATGCCTGTAAAACAACGTCGACCACAACACTGAATCTTCTCACGTTTTGAAACTCTCTTTCAATTTTTCAATTTTCAAAGCAGCTTTTTTTTTTTTTTTTTTCATCTTAGAATACTTTTTTACTATAAAAACACACCAGTACAGTCAGTTCATATTCAGGTATATTCTGTGTGTTGAAGGCTGAGCTCAGTGTCTCCCTGGGAAGCAAAATATGTGTTCTAATCACTGTGGCTCTTCAGACTAACTTAATCTTTCAAAACTGAGAACTGGAGGTAAAACTCTGTTTTCTCATGGAGTAGAATTGTGGCCAATTTCCTGAATCCCAGGTTTTGTAAAAAACACACACTTGATGTTACCTCTGCATGGACTTGGGGCCATAACTGTACTATATTTAACTTTAATTGTAATTATACCTATGTAAGCCACTGCCATGGAGAAGTATTTAAGACCAGATAAAGCAAATGTTTTCAGATGACTGATTTAGCACAAAGCAATGTTTCCAGTTGTTGATCTATAAAATACGAAGATATTTGCAAAAGACATTTGAAGTTGGCGTTTTTTGTATGCTTTTTTTAGCCAGATATTTTGGTTTCTTGGTGTTTTGACCTGAAGCTGTAAAAGTAAACCTGAAGTTTCAAGGTTAACTAATGAATGTTTATCTCTGAGTGTTTATTTCACTGAAGGGAACATTGTTGTATGTTTACTATAATAGTAATTCGTGTTAAAGACTCTCTGTATCCCAAGAGTGCAGATGATCTAAAGAGACTGGTAAAGCACGTTTACAATTAAATTAGATGGGAACAAACTGCTGTCAGAGGTCATAGTAAGTTCTAATGACTGTGACATTCATTTAAATGATTATTTTTTGCCTCAAAATTTTGTGGTAAAACAGCTCAGTAGCCAAGATCTCACAGGTGGATCCCTAAAACTTTGGGTTTCCAGTTGCTCCAGCTTTGACATGGAAAGGATTTGGGTAACTTGGCTGTGTAGAGCAACTGCACTTAAAAGCTTATTGTGGTTATGCAGATCCCTCCAAGGCCAGGGTGAATTTTTTGGATGACTTCCCACCCAATATCTTTGTCCTCTGTTAGGAAAGCTCTGCTTTTGGTAGGAAAGAGGGAGAAAACAGGAAAAAAAAAAGGCAAAACTGGGATTTCATTTCACTTGTTTTCCTTCTTTAATATCAAGACTATTGAACCTCTCTGCAGCCTCCTGCTCATTCAGTAGTTTCTCTTTGTATTTTATGTGATTCTGTAGTTTGGACTCAAAGATCTTGGTTCTGTGATTTATGTGACTGTAGCAACGTGTGGTATTCCAGCCTAATTACCTTTCCCATGCTTGGGAAGCGGAAGATCCAAGAATCCTTCAAAGGAGGAAAAGCTTGGAAATAGTTGGGAGTTTTCTTTCTAACAGCAAGCCCAGGATGAGCACTATGGAGGTGGCAGCTCTAAATCACACCCTTGCCAGGTGAGGAGCTGGAGGGTGTTCCAGAGGAATGTCCTGTAATAACCAGAGGGTGACTCACCTTGAACACATTCTGACTCCAACCCTACGGAAAAAATAATAAAACTCCAGCATCTCCAGGATGCTTTTGTGTCAGGATGCAGGTCTCCAGCTGCAGGGTTAATTCCTGATATCACTCCTATACGAGAAGGAGACAGAAAACTGCAGCTTTCCACAAGAGATTTTTATAGCTACAAAAATAGACAATTTTATAAATATTTCTGAGGTTTGTGGACTAAATGCTCCCATTTTTTTTTGCCTTTTGGAAGATGCTGTTCCATGACTGCCTTTCCTCCTGTCTCACATTGTGGCTGAAGGATATCAGCAGCGAGCTGTTCACTCCCAGACCTCCTCCCTTGCCTCAGATCTTCCTCCATGGAACTATTGCAATTTGACAGCAGCTCCTTCCCTGCTCAAGGGGAGTGCCCACTTATGCCAGCTGAGAGGAAAACCACCACTAATTGGTGTGGGGAGGAGATGGGGAAGAACCAGCTCACATGTTCCTTTAGTGTCACTCCAAAGGGTTCCCAAATTATGCATTTACTCTGAAGGCCTCCTCTTGGGCACAACTGTAGGAGTGAGTGGATGGGGTGGAGCAGATATTGTTGTGTTGAAGAGACGTTGACGGCCCTGAAATTACAATTCCACTGATGGAAAAGATAAAACCACATCACACTTGGCTGTGCCTGTTTTAATGAAGCTGCCACACTTGTGCAGTTAATTGGGTTTTTCCCTTGGAACCTGGAAGCAGCAGCTGGTTGGAAACATCTGGCAACACAGCGGGAGCGTGGGCTGGGCTGTGACAAGAGAGTGGTGGTGTCACCTCTGGGGATGGCACAGGGAGGGGGGGAAGGCTTCAAATGTCCTACCTGATCCAGCACGAGGAGCTCACCTCCACCTCCCCTTCAGGAGGAGCAGCCTCTCCCTTTCCCCCTTTTTTCCCCCTTTTTCCCCTTATTTTCCCCTTCCCCCCACCTCCATTCCTCTTTCTCTTTCCTTTCCCACTTTCCCCTTTTCCCCCTTTTTTGCCCTTGCCATTTTCCTCTTTTCCCCTTCCCTTTGCCCTTTTCACCTTTTCCCTTTTCATCTTTATTTTCCCCTTTCCCTTCCCAACCCTTTCCTTCAAATCCCTTCCCTTCAAAACCCTTTTGTGGTTTTCTTTAGGGAAACCAGGATGTTTTTGATAAGTAATGAAGAGTTTGGAAGTTCCTTTTTCCACTTCCAGAAAATACCAGCATCCTATGTTTCTGAGGAGTAAGTGAAGCTTGATGATGTTTTCACTATCAGTAATATCAACATTTTGCAATAGGAATTTTTGATTGTTTGCAGCTGAAATGTTAAATTTTAATCCGATGCCAACACACTTCAAATTAGCCTGTGTGGAAAGCTGAAGTGTTTAACTACACATTTGGCATATGCTATAAATATATAATTCATAAGTGCATGTAGAAGTGTACACACTATATATATTATTTACCTTATTGATATTTTAAATTCTATTATGTAAAAGAAGGGGGTTTTCCTTATCATGTGGTTGCTCTCCCATTCAGAGTCATTTCAGTTGAATGTTTAATGCATATGAGGCGTTATGCACATTATAATAATTATGGAATGAGCAATTTAGAAATGCTCTCTGACCAGTGCATCCTTTTTTAATAATCTCATGAGCCCTTTCAGATGGATATAGTGCACCATTTACTCCCCTGATATAAACCCTATATTCAGGGTCAGGCCATAAAGCAGCTGATACTGAGATATCCCAGCTCTTTTTAAAAATGAAAGCAATTTGCATTGAGCAGGAAAGGGAAATAAAAGTGACATTCAAGCAGAGTGGCCAAAAAGTGTCTGTTGAAAACATTATTTGCCATTAACTGAGTCTTGAAAATACCACTGGAATGGTGGAGAGCAAAGAATCTGATCTAGAGGAGTCCCTCCATGTCCATGGCTTTCTTTGGCGTCATGGGAAGAGCTGGAAGGATCTGCTGTGCAACAGAGAAAATATTCAACATCATGTGGATCTGAAAATCCAAACCAGCTCCTCAGGACACAGCCATGGGAGCTGGGATTAAATCAGGAGTTGATGCAACAGCCTTCTGTGAATAGAAAAATAACCTCATATCTGGTTTTAATAGAATCACAGAATGGTTTGGGTTGGGAGGGATCTTAAAGGTCACCTCATTCCACCCCCTACCATGGGCAGGGACACCTTCCACTAGACCTGGTTGCTCCAAGTCCTGTCCAACCTGGTTATAATATCTGGATAGAAGTCTAGGACTGAGGAGTACAATCTGCTGATTTGAATCCAAAAGAGCTGCTGCCTAAAAATTTGAGAACTTTGATGGTTTGTGTTATTTCCTCAAGAATATGAAGGCACTGGAGAGTAACACACTGTGACGTGTTTGAACAAAGGCAGCAAAAGGAAACCATTTGTTATTGCTTTCACTAATATATTTAATTCTACTGGTTATTATTTTTAACAGATTAATGAGAAATTAGTTCTTAACAGCATTTACACCATCAGATACATATTTATTCAATGTTCTCTCTAATGGCACTTTCTGCTCTCTGAAAAGGCGACACAACCCCAGCCATCCATTTACAGTAACAGGCACAGCATCTCCTCTCTCCCCTCTGTTGTCTCCTATTGATCCACATAATTCCTCACACCATTTTCAAACATTCCCCTCATATTAAATAACAACAGAAAACAGAATTTCCTGCTCTGCATACCCAAGCTCTCATTTAATCAGTGCTACCCAACATTCCAGATCCATCTTCCAGTGCAACCAGTGACGCTCTGCAAGGGCATTTTGTTATTTTTCATCCAGGCAGCTCCTGCTTCCTCTACAAGTTTCCATCAGACTCCTTTAATGAAATCCCTCTCCCAGTTGAACTCTCTCCCCCTCAGCTGCTCCTTTGCACATTTTCCCTGCCAGCTTTGCCTCCTTTCAGGGCTCTGTGCTGCGACCAGGCTGGAGAAAATGCTTTTACAGGCTCTGCCTATTCTTGAGAAAATGCTTTTACAGGCTCTAATATTCCATCTCCAAGTTTAGAAGCTAAAATATTTTCATGCCACCTCTGCAAGCTGCAATTTTAAATGGATCTAATCGGTTCTGCCCTCTACCTTTTATAACTAGAAACATTTTGGGATGAAAATTGAGATACCCCATCCTTCCCTCCCTTCCCCTAGATCCTTTCAAGCAATAAAAACAAAGTTTGCCTGACTTTGAGAACTTCCCCACAGCACAAAAGCCTTTTCCAAGAGTTTTTAATTGAAGCTAAGCATCTATTTAGGTTACAAAGTCCTATATTTAACTTGAATGGAATAATTCCTTTTCTTGTATTTAACCTTTGATCAGCTGCCTACCTTTGAACTCTTGGATAACGACCCCCTTCTTGTTATCCTTGTCCCACTTCTCCCGAAGCTCTTGCATAACAGCACCTCAGAAATCAAAATAGAGTTGCCTTTGGTGAAATAACTTTTATTTCTTTTCACATGGATGGCTTCAGCCACTTTGTTTGTTCTTTTTTTTTTTTTTTTTTAATGTAGAGATCTGGGACATAACACTGTAGGATGTTTGCACAGTTTTAAATTAATTAAGGAGCGAAAAATACACGTATAAGAGCTGAATCTAGACTGCCCACATCTAGGACTTTCTAAAAGACTTTCTTTTAACAAAATTTCAGAGATTACATTTCAAATATATATGCAAACTATTTAATCAAATTCCCCCAAATTATTCACAACGCTCAAAAAAAGTGTGGTTACACAAACCATAATAATTAAAAACAAACTCCATAAATAAAAAATCAGCATGTTGTTAAAAATTGTGGCAAGACCTAAACTTTCCTAATTAAAAAAAAAAAATCAGCAGTATATAATTTAGAATGTTCTAAACTATTAATTACCTTGTTTCAAGTGCTTGCAGTAATTTGTTGATTCAGGACAGATGCAGGTGACAGTCTTCCTTATTAATATTTGTTTCCAAATGAACTCAGAAAACAGAGGTGAATTTCTGCATTCTTAGTACACAGACAAATAAACACTCATCAACCCCCTTTTCCCCAAATAGTTTCAAACTCTCCAGATCTAAGTGATTTATAATTCCTATGGCACTTCCAGACTTGGTGAACATAAAAAAGTGGGTTTTTTTTTTCCTTTTTCTTTGGAAATATCCTTTCATCACACATCCCACTCCACTTCT